ATAAGGATTGAGATGTAGTGAGGTAAACACGATGACAAGATCTCCATGAAACATGGCCTGTCCTTTAGTATCTGTACCCTTGCCGTCTATGTAGATTCCACGCTCCTCCTGAGGTGGCATTTGGGTTGGGCATATTGGCTGCATTAAATTGGATTTCTTTCCAAGTATCTATTCCTTCTAATCGAGTTTAAAACGAGTTCATGTAGCAAAACCACTGTTCAACGATAAAAAATATTTTTTTTTATAATTTAGAGATAAATAATCTTTCGATATTTAGAGATAAGTATGCGTACATAACTATACCAATAAAATGTGTTTAAGTTAGAGGAGAAATTTATAGGATTAAATTTTGGGCTTTTATCCAAACTTTAGTAAGTCCAATATTCTTGCCCTTAATCTAAATTTATAGGCCCAATTTGATTCAATTTTAATGTTATAATTTTACGACATGAGTCATATGTCATTGACATTTGACCAAGATTCTGATTTATTTAATATATGTTAAATTATTTAAAATGATAAATAGGTTAACAAAACCATATTAATAGATTTTGAGTCGATTCGATTAAATATGTAATCGAATTAGAAGCACACTCTGTGTCTTATCTCCATATTCTTCAATCAAACTATTAAGTTAATCGAGTACATCACACATCCTTCAGTCTTAGTAAGCAATCATCCCACACTTGCTCATTCCACAAGTCAATGACCTAACAAAGTCGAGGAAGATGATGATCCAAATCTTCAACCTAAGATAAGCTCAGATGAGTTGATTGAGTGTGAGAAATATTGCATCCACGTTACATTCTTGGACATAAAATATGGGCAAGTGTGAGCAATTTGACTATGTGTTGAATAAAATAGATTAATTAATCGAATACAATACAATCAATAGATTACGTGTTCTTTAGATCAACGTGGACTTCATTATTGATAGCAAACATATGGGCTTCGCGAAGAAACCATTTGCATTGCATCGACCGAAACGTCGATAGCGAGGCAATCCAAACACCGACAACGTATAAGACACAGTCCATCCCATTTGGACGCATCTGACGTACACACACACACACACACACACACACAGAGTGAGAGAGAGAGAGAGAGAGAGAGAGGATAACAGCGCTTAGTTCACCACGCTGCAGACCTTCCTGACCTCCCCGGCGGAGCCAGTGAGGGGGCTGATGTCGCCCATCTTCACCATGGCAGCCGCGAAGTCGGCGAAGAAAGCCGCCTGGTCCTTGCTGTACGCCGCCACCGTGGCGTCGGTAGACCCGCCGTTGAAGAGGAGCTGGTCCGAGTGCAGCAGGCCCTTCTTTCTCAGCAGGTTCTTGTAGTAGTTGTTGTCGAAGGAGCCGGGGGTGACCAGGTCAAGCGGGGCCAGGTTGGTGTCACCGTTGCCGGCGGTCGGAGGGCACCGGCGCTGCCGCATCCTGGCGAATCCCGCGTCGATGTTCGTCTCGTTGTATATCCTCCCCCGGAAGGTGGCGCACTGAGCCAGCCCGATGGTGTGCGATCCTGAGAGGACGACCATGTCTTTGAGGCTGAGTCCTTGCCGCGCGAACACGGAGGTGAGCGTGTCGAGGTCGTCGAAGGCTATTGGCAGGTTTTGCTCTGCCAGATCTTTGCTGGCGGTGGTGGAGTCTCTTCTTCCGAGCTTCACCTTCCATGAAGGCCCACCCACCTGTAATGCACGGTCAAATTCATCATCGCAGAAGCTTTGGATCTTACGATAATCTATCCAAATCTTTCTGTTCCGTAATTTACTTACGTATACGGAGGAGTCTCGTGCAACGATGGCAAGGATATCAGCACAGGACACGACGCCCGGACACACCTTCTCCACGGCCGACTTTATGCCGTCGATCACTTCGTATCCTCTCGCAGATCTGAAGTTTTGACGTGCGTTCTTCTCGCTCACGATGCCCGCCGCATCGTTCAGCAAGATGGACGCGTCACAACCCTGACAGATTTACCAGCATTCAAACTCATCCATCTGCGTGTGTACATGTATGTCGACACAGAGACAGAGAGAGAGAGAGGGAGCTGCTGAACCTGAACAAAGCAGTCATGGAAATGGAGGCGGAGGAGGGACGCGGCCATGCGATGCTCTCGAGCGATCGCCGTACCGGTGGCTTTCTTGACGGTTGGCAGCACCTGTGGGCAGGTCTTGTCGTAGTAGTTAGGCGAGAGCTGCGCCTCACACAAGGCCATGAGTGACACGACCAAAGCGGCCACCCACACAAGGTTGGAGGAGGAAGCTCGCAGCGAACTCATTCTTAGTGTATCTACCAAAACATGGCATCGCCATCTGCTTCCTTATAGGGAAGCCCCCAAGTAGGAGTTATCCACACGCCATTGATCCAGATAAGCCATGACTTTTCTCTTCAACTTTGGATGGCTTCCCTGTCTCTCTCCCTCCCTCTCTGTCTGACTGCGACGGAGCAGCTTCTCAACCATATCATCGAAGCCATGGGTCCCTATTTGCGTCCGACAATAGGGTTCCGGTAACAACAATATCATCACTCACACAGCACGCAGAAGCAGCCTTCGTGGTTTCTACCATCATGACTCTTCCAAGTTTCTTCTTCACCAAGATTACGCACAGGGCTTCTTCGTCAATGGATGAGTAGTTTGCTTTTGCTAGGTTGAAGACAAAGATGTCATTGGAGCATGTAAAACAAGCATTAATTAATGCATGTTTTTTTTTTTATCTATTAGCTTTTTATAGTACAATCGATCATGTTTGGTGACAAGAACTTCTCAACTATTATGGTATTTTAATGAAAGTTCCAATTCACTCTGACTTTTGTGCTCATACAGGCCTACTTTTGTCTTGTTGGAAAAGACACATCAGTAGTGTGATGGTACCACACCAATCATTTAGGTTTATCATCATGAATTTAACCTTTTTTTAATGGAATAAATGATGAAGATGAAATAGTATGAATTGGATCGAAAATATTAAATTAGAATAGTTTTGTTGACTCTTAATTATAGATATATTATTGTAAAGAGTAGGTAGACTCATAAGTGTGTGTGTCAGAGTCAGCATGTGTAATCAATAAGTTTGAGTCAAGCATCAATGATTGACTAGTTATAGGAATAAGGATTATATCATTTAGCATTTATGTCCTGATCAATTTTCATATTAATTATAGGCATATTTTGAATCATAAGATTGTTGATTAGATTCAGCATACACAACCAAAAAATTGATTCAAATTACATATATTAGATTAAACATCAAATCAATCCAAAATTTTAACCAGATTTTCAATGTTTAGTAATGTGAGATTATTCTCGGATTCAATCTCTCTTCATTCAACACAGATATTTTTAACAAATTTAAAGAATATTTTGTTTGATGCCGACCTACCCAATTGAATTAAAATGATGGAGGGGCATATTACATCATTATCGGTTGGAATTGATATGCTTAAGTTTGTGGTGATCACACAAACATGATGCTCCAGCGACAAGTTATTCTCAATATTCACCTTTGACATTTAAGTTAGTTTTAATTAATTTAAAAAATAAAAAAAATAATAATTCTTAGAGAACAAAACTAATCGAAATTACTCCGGTGGTTCCAAGGTCACAACATCGTAGATCGATGTTGAGATTATTGATATAGACATTGGTATGTTGTCACATATATGATGCTGAGATTATTGACATAGACATTGATATGTTATCACCACAAATATTGCCAACACAGATTAGCACTTGCTAATATATTTTACTTCAAAAAAATACTAATAAAAATTTCTTCTTATTCTTTTAACATGAAATTTCCTTCGAGTTTAATAACTATATTACTTTAATCATATCTCTAGTGCTCAAGCTAGCTGAAGAGGCAAAATGAAAGTTTTAGGATAGACACAAAATAAGGTTTGTGATAGCTTCGAACATGACATGACAGGGCATCTAATTGAAACCAAACAAATTGGATGTCTTTTATATGGGGCAATAAAACATTGCAAATCCAGTACTATTATTATATGTTCAAATTGAATGGCTCTCTACAAAATTATGCATAACTCAACTGTATACAGAAAAGATGAGATTATGATTTCTCTGTCACAATTGGCATTAATATTAAACAGATTAATCCATCATATTGATTGATAGGAACTAACATATAATTGCCACACGTGAGATTAAAGTCACACTCCACGTAGTATTCAAAGTATAAAAATACAAGCTTCCTTCTAATCAATTATGATAAGGAGGACAATCATAAATTGACTTCTCATCTATTATGATAATAAAGACAATCATAAATTTCCTTGTCATCTATTATGATTATGATAATAAAATATATATAAAAAAATCTTAAATCCAAGTACAAAAACTCACATTTGAGAATCTTAAAATCGGATCGAAAAATCTATCTCATTTTTGGATATGTAGTAACTCAAGAGCATAATAATTTTATATCATAAATACTTCGGATAATTCTACAGGTTTGAACCACATGAGATTGATCAAGACATCAATGATAATTTTTTCTAACATTCAAAAAAAGAATTTTTTTTTGTTTGTACAGCAAGAAAAATGATATTTCAAATCAAAATCAACATAATTCCATATAGTTTGTCGTTTCCTAATATAAGATCATATTTGTCGTATCATGTTGGATCATATTCCGCGGAATAATCTCATGTTGTGACATAAAATTTCTTATCACTTCATATCATATCGGATCATATTCTTTAATGTTAACGCCATGACATGCCACCATCTATCACCTCAAAGTTGGACACGTCCGGTTTGGTACGAAATGCATGCTAAAAAACAGGACTTCAAATTCTTGTGCATATAACTCATTTTCATGGGACAGTAAACAATTAGAATTTAGCTTGAAATAAATTGATTATTACAATAAATAACTAGAATTCAATTAAATTCAGTTAATTTGGATAAGAAAAACCCATTACGAAACTAAAGCAGATAATGGAATTCATTTACTTGAAGTCATGCTATTTCTTAATGCATAAAACAAAACCCTACTTCCCTTCTTTTAGTATTGCTCAAGGAAACTACAATCTTCCTATTTCTTATTTCTACAAACATCAGAAACATACGGTGCTTCTCAGATGAGATCTTAAAATAGTTGCAATAACTACTGATGTGTGCAATAACTCAATGATTAACACAGAAAAAGGAGTTCCACATAATTGCACCATAAGAAGGCTCAGATATGCAGTAGATTTAGAACAACCAGTAGGAGAGACATACCGGTGCAGTGGTACGACTTCAAACTGTCAACTCCATCCTCGAAACAAGAATACCATCAGTATCTGCATAAAGCCACTCACCATCAAATATCCTTGTTCCGGCAAGGTTGATCGCGACGTGTTTCTCACCTATTCCCTTCTTGTTAGCCTTCATTGGGTGGGGAGCCAATGCTCGAACACCGATATCACAACCATTGATCTCGTCGACATCCCTGATGCAGCCATTGACAATTATGCCAGCCCACCCGTTGTTCTGAGCTTGTTGGACAGGATTACCACCCAGTATGGCGCAGCGCATGCTTGCTCCTCCATCGACAACCAAGACTCTACCGTTACCCTTCTCCTCCAGGAACTCACGCACAAGGACATTGTCCTCAAAAACCTTGAGAGTCACAATGGGACCAGAGAAAACCTGTCGCCGCCCGTATATCTGAAAGATTGGTTGAAGTGCACGAAGGTCACCACTAAGGATTAGGTGAGGGTTAGCATCACAAACTTCGGCAGTCGCCAATTGTAAAGCAGCCATGGTCCTTCAGCTACACTGATTTGGAAGAAAAGACAAACAGGATCAGCATCAGCATCTCAGATCAGGTGGTTTTGATGAGCAACAAATGCTAAGGGAAACGCAAAAGATAGCAAACAGAGCATATTGCGACTATGGCATAAATAAATTTGGTGGAAAGAGGTAACATTGTTCTCTGATAACAACATGCATATTGGTACGGAGTTCTTCTAAGAAGACGTTTATAATGAACCATATATTTGATCACAGAGTTATTCGAAAAGACTACTAGTATGATCAAATCAACAATAAACTACAGAAAATAGGAAAAAAGACATTATATTGGGGTCAAAGATAAATCAATTTGATTAAAGGAAGAGCAAAATATTAGTGTTCATGAAAACTTGTTACAATATGACCACCTTCAGTTTCAACATCAGGTCTTGGAGGATTCCTTATCTATAAAAATATTACGGAAAACTGACAACAGAAACATGCTAATGAGTGGCACTAAACAAGTTGTATCAACAATATCTTGTTTTAGAATTCCAAGTGCTTTGTTTTAATATTTGTTTATTGGTATCTAGAGAGGTGTTAGACCAAGGTCCATAGTGCAACAATGTATTCGACAGTTCATTACATCAAGCAGCTCTTCGAGAGAAATAAAAGCAACATAAACTGACCTATGAAGTCTATGTGATAGATAATATCATTGAGGTTTAGTTTTTCTGATAGATAAGACCTTCATATAATGAGTGTGCATTTATATGAGATGAACTGACCCATGAAGTCATTCTTTAAAACATAAATACAAGATCAGCATCAAGCCATAAGGACTCGACTATTTGGGTGTAAACTGCGAGGATAATTCTCAACCATTGAGCTCCATCGAAGGCAATATGCTAATCAAACTAAAAGTCATCAAATATCCTTTCATTGTTACTGGTAAAGCTTTCTATCTTCCCTGATCTCTTCTTTCACCCTGATCTTTTATGAAAGATCTATGATCTCATATGATACAACACTAAATAGCACATAAAGAGATCCCATAACTCTTCAAACTCAGGGTTTAGTAGCTAAAAACTTCCCTGGGTTACATAATATGCGAACCAGGACCTTTTATCATTAATATCACTAAACAACGTTATTTACAACATAAAAATGAGACATGATGAAGATAACACATCTAAAAATTAAAGAAAAACCAAAAATCATAATTCATAACCAACTTACTCGATGTAGACTAAGATCCAAGACCTAGAAAAACCAATAATGAAACCCACACTGAGCTCAATCAATACATATCAGCCAATAAATAATAATGCTTGGTCGAAGTAAGGCCTGTAACACACTACACATGCACAAAATCTGGCTCCGACTGGTACAAACCCACTGTACTGTGCAATATAAGTATTTCAAACCATGATAGGATTTAATTTAATAGACTAAATTTGAGTTGAATATCACCTAGCTGTTACCACTCACTCCACTGTGTGGCATCTTGTTCTCATGCACATTTGATGTAGCAACTTAAAGTTTGCAGATTTGTGTTAAGCATTTGTGATGAATTGTCACAACCAAATGCTATGTGATAGGATCATCTTCACATCAACTTCAATGAATTTCCCAGACTCATTTTAATCATTTGCTCTAAAATCAAAAGAATTTTGTATCAACACCAAATAAAAAATGAATCATCAAGTCTATGCTGAACCACAAAAAATTGCTTGGTTTGATGGCTTAGTAGTAACTCCAGGTTTAGATTTAAATTGGTGATATCTCCCCACATAATGGTTTCTCATGAGATGTATTAAAAGATCTTCAGAGTTAGCTTTACTGGATTGGACTCTTCAATGCAACTTCAAAAAGAGATGACAGGTTGTGGAAAGGAATTACTTATTTGACTCCCAACAATGTTAGAGAATAGCAAATTTTTGTGGCATGTTCATCAGATGTATTCAGTTTTTTCAGAAACAGGAAAAAGATTATGTAAATTAATATTTTTGTGGTCCAGCAGAGACAGGTTCCAACTCCCTCTTTTGAGCCCCTCCCATAACTCTACTAAGTGGAAAAATTGATTCATGTTCAAATTCTGTTTCCCAGCTTTAGTTGGATGGTTTTAGTAGATTAGATTGGGAAAGTTTTCAGTTTTATCTCAATCAATAGTCTCGTTGTGAAAAAGACAATCATTTGGGTCCTATAGATACCACAGCACCGCACCCCAAAGAATTTGATGATCTTTTGTGGAATACAGAAAATCAATTCAGTAATTTCTATTCCCCTGTCTCGCCAGTCTTCTTTTTCTGTGTTTTATCTTTTTTATCTTTTCCTCTCGTCTGTCTCCTCCACAGATGCACCAAAACTCAAAGCCATCCTTTAGCACTCAGTAATCAACACACACAAGAACACCTCTCACAAACTTCACAAACTAAGCATCGAAACAGAAGCCTCCGAAATCTGCATCGATCAACCTACGCATGTGAATTAACAGAAACCTCAAAAGGAGCCATGATCCGTGAGCAAGAAACATGAATCGTGAACAACCATCACGAATGTAAGATCTAGAAGAAGGCACGGATCCACTCACCAGCAGAAGAGAGTAACATTAAAAGCGGAAAAATGACAAAAAATAACGGGATCCAGATGCTTGCCTCAAGCAGAGAGGAAACGAAAGCGGTCTGAATCCAATCCAATGGGGAGAGGACGAGTAAAGGATGAGATTGATAGGACGAATCGGGATGAAGCGCGTTCCCTGTTTGGTGCAACGACGCGCCGCAGGGCTTGGAATCCGAGGCGACGGAAGCCGAGGAATGCCGCATCTGATGGGTACTGTAGCCGTGAAAAGACTTATATGTCAAATGAGAAATATTAAATAACTAAATTATATAAAAAAATATAAATTGCATAAAATGTTTTCTAATTTCTTGATTTATCCTAAATAGAACCAAATGTCAATTGAATACATGAGTTACTTCTTAGTACGAAATATGAACATTAAAAATAATACTTTTATCATATAATTAAGATTATCTATATTATGGATTTTTTTCAAGCCCCTCTTCTCACAAAAATAACACTTTTGGACAAGAAATCATATCATTTTAATTTAATACAATTAATCACATATATGAATGGAAAATATAATAAATCCATCTACATGAGAAGAGAGAAAGAGTTAAGGATCTTTTTATTAGGAAGTAAATAATAAATGTGAGTGGCAATTAATTTGATGGCATCTTTGTGTCACAATTTCTGTACCAGTATAACACATTTAGCAAAGATTTACCCATCTACTCACCATGCAAAGTACAATAAGAACCCTTCAGCATCAATAATACAAGCACACTCAGAATAGCATTGGGTGGTGGTCCAATGAGGACTTCCAAGTCTCAGTTCACTGCTCCACATGACCAATCTCAGCTTTTACAGTAAAGACTTCACACCAGTATACTACAGTAGAGAGCAGTGGGTTACTTTCTCTGTCATCATGCTTCTTCCATCAATGATCACTACCAGTAGAAGGTTTAGAAGCTCCCTCTGTAGGTCATAATTGGGTGCATGTGTTGTGTTGCTGACAACTTTCACACATACAACTTTGTTGTTCTCAAAGGCAAACCTCAGGATCAGAGTTAAGCTCCATCTATTCGCCTGATCGCGAGTGTGAAATATATGAGAACCATTGTCCCGATGCTCGACCTATTCATTGTTCCAAGAGAGAAGAAAAAAAACAAAAAAACATTTGATTAAAGGGTTTCAGTAAAAAGTGAATGCACAACATACTGACATCCTTCTGACTAAAAGGTGGCAAACAATGTGATGATTGATACAGAAAAAGACACTTCTCAAAGAATAAAACATTGTGGTTGGGATTCACTTATAATTTTGGAACTTGTTGATTAATAATATCACAGGAAAGCTTGGAGGACAAGTTTGCTTGGCCAACAAGGATTGATTTTGAAAGAATTTTGCTTGAAGAAAGACGGACTGTTAAAGTGATGAGTAGTTCTACAGTACTTACATGGCCGCAAAGACTAGAAGAATCTTCCGTGGATGAATGGTGGTTAAACGATTTAATCTTTTGGTCCTTCCTTCTCCCAGATCTGAGAAAGCAGGGCTATTAGGTGCAGATTGTGCAGCCTGAAGAGTTTTAAATGGCACAGGGGGCTGTTTCAACTGCTCCATGTGAGAAGGTACAGCTGCAGAAGACAATAGCAAATACAAATCAACATATACAAAATAATCAAGTTATAATCGTAAAACTGCTCCATGAGAACAAGGTATGACTGCTTCAATTTAAAAGTTCAAGTAGAGCATTGCAAAGAAAAAGGTTGAAATGGTGAATAACCAATAGTGTGGACATTCCTAGAATATTGCAAAAGATTACTGATATCTGTAGATCCTATTAGGAGTCCCAATAAGAAATGTTGGGAATAAACAAAAACAAATTCATAGCTTATATATCTATAAAGTGAATGTTACATGATTGATCATGCTTATTGCATGTGCCTTGCACTTACAATGTTGAAGAAGCAACAGCTTTCATCATGCTTATTGTATGTGCCTCACACTTGCAATGTTTGACACAGTATGGCTAATAGAAACATGAAGCATCCCATACCTTTAACAAGATTTTTTAATGCATCATATGCTTCTTGCTCCCCACCTGTGTGTCTCTCCATGCGGATTGAACCTTTTCGCAAAAGAGCCTTCTTCTTCTGTGGAGACATAAAAGATTTAACTACAATATCTTACAATGACAAGTATATTAAAAGATATATTAAGGTGTGTCTCATATGATTGAATCAGATACTCCACTCACAGACATCTTTGGACTTCCAGAGCAACATATTTCAGGTGGCTGTGTAAGACATTCGACATCAATTATTACATCCCCCACTTCATTCATGGCTGTTGTCTGGTTCTGCAGAGAAGTGGATGCAGAAGATTTAACACAAAAAATGTGCAAACAATAGTATGAAAAGAAAAAACAAACAGATAAGGAGATGGTTAGCAAAGAATAGTATGAAGTAAAAAAGAGAAAGATAGGGAGATGGTTGAATCGGACAGCTGGAGAGTTTGGTAAAGAATAGTATAAACGGGAAAAAAGAGAAGGATAGGAAGATAGTTAAATCGAACCACTGGAGAGTTGCAATGGTCAGACATTTTGCAATTTAACAAACTCAAGTAAACCAACATTAAAATAATTTATAACTATCTTAAAGAATAAACATAACAATTTATAAGATCTAAACTCCTTTTTCAAATCCACATAACCAAAAGTCACTGGATGCTTACAATGAACCTAAGAGTACAGTTTTATAACTTTGGACTATTTACTCAAGTTGCAACATGATCTCAACACAGCAGCACAACCTAGTTTGGCTATTCTTTACTACCAACTTTACCCAGAGTCTGGGAAGATCTTCCAGCCATATCTAGTGCTATTTTGGAACTTACCTGTAAGAGCTATGGTCCAAATTTGAGTTATTGCATATAGATTAAATCACTCCTCTATTGCTCTTTCCTTGTTGAGTTTTCTCTCATACTTTTCTGGTATCTTATATCCAATTTTTACATTTTCTCTGACTATCAAACATCCATCTCTGGTTATCCTTCCAATTTGCAAATAGATATTCGGGGCACATCAACATTCACTGCACAACAATGAGTGGTTAGCTATTTTTACTGCTAGTTGAAACATCAACTTTCAAGGAAGCTATGAATCTTAAAGAAAGTTGACACAAAATAGGTCTTACATAAATAAAATATTTTGTTGCCTTAATTAGAATCTCATCCAGTTCTCAGAAAAATTCTCCAAACTGTTAATTCCATGTACTCAACAAAAGAAAAAAAAAAAAAGAAAGTTGATTCTGTATCGATTTCAACTGAAGGACTGATCAATAGCAAAGAGAACTGAGAGGATGATCAGTACAAACACATTGTACCTTAGACTGATGAATAATTTGTGCAAAAGCTAAATCAATTTATCGAAGCATTCAATGGTGGCATTTGGGGCCAGTATTCGACAAGGTCCATCGATCTTTATGAGCAAATAAAAAGTGCCTAATAGGATGAGGAACAAAACATAATTGTCTCTGGGTCCACCTATGTTTTCTTTCATACCAATCTTCTAAAATTGACATCATCATCCTTATCCGCTACCTTGCTTTTCTTTAAAGGAATTAAGCTGCATTGCTGAATTTGGAAGATAAGGGACATTCAGTTTTGTATTCCAACTTTTTCTAGGTATATTTTTGGAAAATATTTCAGGTTATACACTAATTAAAGTACCTCTCAACCCTTTTGTCTGTTCTGTCATACAAAGGATTGATCACAATTCCTTCCGCACCGAAAATACTATATCCACCTACACAGCCCCGAGATAAGAAGAAAACGATGATAACACCATAATCTGTTCCGACACTCTTAACTAGAAATCAATTGGAGGGAATAATGAGACACGAAATCCATTATATGAGGCAAAGATTTTTCTTCTTTTCCGAAAAGAAAAGCCTTGTCTGATAAACAGGCCAACTGATTACAACGGCGATCGAGATGAAGCATTCAAATTCGTGGATTTTCGCCTTGAAGTTTTCCAGGAGCAAATCATTTCACTAAAACTCCAGAAAAAATGCCTCCTTTTTGAACAAACTGAAGTTACTCTCGGTCAAAGATCAACGAAAAATCAAGTAGACAGATCAAAAAGATAGAGATAGAGAGAGCGGAGTAGGAAAAGGAAGAAGCGGGTGTTTTGGGAACGTCTGCTCACAGAACGAGACACGCAAACGGAGAGAAATAGAAAGATGTCAGCCATATACAAGAAACCAACAGAGCTCCCGAGCTCACCTTCTGTTCTCTCATCGTCTGCATAAATTCGCGCGCAAAAAAGGAGCAATGCCGATCGAAATCTCACCTCTTCGCTGCAAAGAGAGATCTGAAGTAGCCGTTGGAGGTGGGAACCTCTTCCTTTTAGTCCGCTTCTGATGTCCTTACGCACGTCTCGTCGTTTCTCCCGAGCTTTGTCTCTGCAGCTCATCTTTCCGCAAGAACCCTTGCCATTATTGATAACCTCTATAATAATAATAATAATAATAATAATAATATTAATTTATTATTTATAATTTCAATTTTCCTAATTTCATCGTACTCCTTATTGATGCTATCATCGCTTGTTACCGATAATGTTCCCTGATGTCGCCACGTTATCCTGAAGAAGAAGAAGAAGGGATAGAGAAGAAGCGGCTACAGAAAAAGGAGAAAAGAGAGGATATTTATATCCTTTCATAAAGTATTATTAGTTCAGAAATATTAAAAAAATCAAATAAAATTATAAATAATAAACAGAAATTATAAATAGTAAATTTTTTTTATTTTAAAAAAATAGTTTTACATGTTTATCCTTCTTTAGTTTTGAAATAACATATTTGCCCTAAATATAATGTATATAGTTTTCTATATCTAGTCTGAAAGTGACCCTCTACGCTTGGTATCATTGTTGATGTCAAAGTCATTGAGCCTTGATCGAGAACCAATTGAGCTTGGGGTCGATCTAGATATGCTTCTTCACTTAGCACACCCTGCTTCGTCATCGTCGGATTCTTGCACACTAGCTTAGGTCGGGAGGGGAGGGGTTTCCCAACTTAGGTCCCTCCAAAGATCAAGTCAGTCGAACTTTTACCGAGGTTTTTTGTCGCCCTGACCAGGTGCTAGTTGAGGGCTTTTATTCTGATGCCCGAGGGACGACCGTACGCGATCTGTGTGCAGCAGTCGACTCCCCGGGCGGTGAGTTCGTACATTCGGATGATCGTCGCTCGATATGTGCGGAACGACGCTGTGCAACATCGTCCCGAGCTTTCCAGAGTGACCCTTGTTAGGATAATGCTGGCTCGTGTGGCTCCAGATGGCGCGGGAGGGAGATGGTCATCGCCCCGAATCCGTGATGGTACGTTCAACGTAGCGTCCTATCTTTGCCCCGAGGTTAAATGTTTGCACTGACATGGTTGGAGGCCGTGGCCACGTGACGTAATGAGATCCACAATATATTCCATCATATTCTTTTCCTAGTTTCGAAATACTATATTTATCCTAGACAAAATATATAAAGGGTAATTTTTTTATTTTTTATTTATTTTTCTCATCATATACCCGTTTTTATATTTCCCAAATGGTGTCCCCATTTGTTATAATCCCTAAAATTCTTAATAGTTGACGTATAGATCAGTCATATGATGAATCAATCCAAATTCTTTTAATTATAATATTGTTGTTAATATTAAAATATTATAGTGTTTTGATGGAGTTGCTAAAAGCATCACAAATCTATTTAAAAGTATTATAGCTAGTAGTATAAATTTTATACACCAAAGATTCAACTATATGAGTCGATCTGATTGTTTTATCAAGCATATTTCAACATGATCTTTGAGAAATACGAAAAAGGGCATGAAAGACGGAAAAAAAATTCTTGTGAATTCACCCATATATATATATATACTGCCTGACTAATAGCAGTAACATTTTCTTGTTGTAGGCATTCAAAATCTTGATGGTCCCTTGTGATGTTGATTGACATATATATAGATCCCACCTGACCCTTATAGAGCAAGTGCATGTGCATCAATGATAACATAATGCCAAGAAAACTATTATATAGCATTATTTATAATGGATTATATCAAGCATTAAACCACAATCTCAACAACTTAATCTCATCTAGATAAGAAACAAATTATTTCAAGAGAATGATGCTGTGTGTTCTTCCTCTTTGTCTGCATCAGACAGCTTAAAATTATTGTTTCTTTGTCCTTTAATCAAGTGTGGGATGGATTCATATAGAAAAATGTATATTTGAATTACATTCAATTTGGACACTGAAGCAGTAAGCCTGATTTAGAAATGAATATGATAGAATTTATACCCTTTCCTACTCACAAACTAGAAGGAAAAAAAAATCAAAATAAACTATAAAAGAATAATAAAAAATCATATGCAAAAATAGATAAAGAAGTCTAAAATAATAATATAAAACAAACTAATTTAGACTAAAGTGAGTAAATTCACATAATTATATTTCAAGACATCTTTTTTCAAATCCAAAGTATTTAACCAAATAAAAATTCCCTTAAAAAGCATAGAATCAAAGTTATAAATGTCTTGATTGAAGGATTATTCCCTGTCAATATTTATCACAATGGTGATGAAAACTTAGGCTTTTCTTTATCTAATAAATTATTATTGTTGTTGTTATTATTATTTGTTGTTGACAGACAGGTCAGTAGGTGTTGTAATAGAACATATCACCACTTAATAATATTTAAATTATTAAATATAGTTTTAATAAAAAAATTGACCCACCTTCTATTTATCCTTACATTACTAATAATAATTTAAATTAGTATTATTATTATTATATTTCTTATACATAATATATTTAAGAAAATTAATGAATAAAAAGTTTTATGTTTTATAGATATCTCAATATTCTTATTCTAATGATATAAACTTTGTCTATGTCACATCTACAAATTATTTCAAAACCTAACAATTATTTTATTAATTTTTAATTTAATAATTAATATAAAACTTGTGACATTTCTCTTCATTTTAATCATCCAAATTTACTTTATCTATATTAACTATTTAAGACAAAAGCAATTTCAAATACTGTCCTAATAAATAACATGATTTAACATTTTGGCGGGGAGGGATATGCAAGTTTGTCTTGAAATCATTGGCGACAAGTCAATGACGGCATGCAGCCATCTTAACCGTCCGTCACCAAGCCCACCGTTGATGATATCATTTGACGGTTCAGTTCCTTAAGGGAAGTTTATGAGTGGTCATGTCTCGAACCACCCAAGAACCGGTTCTAGACCGTTCTGAACCGAAATCGAATCAATTTCGATTGATAAAAAAATAAAAATCCATCCATCAAAATTTAATCTTAAGAATTCTAATTTAAAATGTTGATAATAACTCCATCATATAATATTATTTTAATCATATAATCAATTTTCGGGAGTCAAATCGTAAGAATCCGATTTCGGTTCAATTCAGAACCGTCAAACATTGACCCCGGTTCTCATCTCAGTTCCGGTTCGAACCGCATGAAATCTTGGTGGACTCTGTTCGGACTCATAGAGGGAAAATTCCACCTCTTACCTATAAACTCCGCCCACAGAAAGCAAAACCCATCCTCACCTCCGGTTTCCTTCTCCTGCGATCGCCACTGCGGAATCTGAAATCCTAATCCATCCACTATGGGAACGGACCCGATCGAGGATTTTTGGATCGACGGAGGAGGTTCCGATAGCGAGCTGCAGTACGCCCTCGATGGCTTCCGTGACATGGTTCCGACCGTCGGGTACACGAAATCTTGATCCTCTTCCATTTCATATGGTCACTGGTTGTGATTGTTCCATTTATTCGAGTCTGCTCCGATAATCCTCGGGTCAGGTAGTTTTGGTGTTCTGATCGAGTTCACACACCTTTTTGGTAATCTGACGCGTTTTTGGGTTGACAATTGAAACAGAGTGGGGAAAGAAGAGCCGTATAGGGATTTGCGCGGTCTTGAGCAGAATAGCTCGAGAAAAAGGTCAATTTTCTGCTCTTTACCTGATAATTCTATGGAACTTGCAATTTCAGAGTCTATGGATTCTGGATTTGGATATGTTGTACGACGAACTTTCTTCGTCCAGCCCATAGACATTTTGTAGACCTTAATCGTAGAAAAGGGAAAAGATGACAATCCTCTCAAGTTCCTTCTCTTTTTGTGTTTGTAATTGAGAAGTGTCATGTGGGGCATCAGTAATCTTATAATTGAACTTGGGGTGATTAATTTATTCAAAAGAGAATTAACTATTTGTTTATACTTGGATTTACGTTGTCTACGCGAAGAAATAAGTGTTAGCTTTCTAGGTTTTCCTTTTTTACATCTCACACATTTAGATTCTGTACTTAACTGAGCCTCTTTTATAGCTGAGGGCTTTTTTAACACAAAACAAAACAAAACAAAACCCAAGAAAGGCTCATATCTATCTTCATCAGATCCCTGTAGTATATCTGGTTAGTGAGGACTTCTTCTATAAGAAGTAACGGTTTTGTTGTATAAATTACAATTTAATATGCCACTGTGTCTAAATCTTTTTTATGACACTGCAATTTATATTTGCTATAAGGAGATGGATGTAATCATCTTATTTCCATTCACCAAATTAAGTTAGAAGAGAGCAATGAGGTCTAATATTGTTGATGGATATTTAAATTATGACTGACATCAAAGGAATTTTACTTGAGCTTCGTGGTTATGAAATGCAAGTCAATCAATGAAATAAGTATATGGACATTATTTTGTGTACAAAAAATGATTTTGGCTTTGTTTTGTGAAGACCGGATGATGTTTTTAACTAAGAACAGTATGTGATGGAAGGTGAGGTTTCTAGCTCTATACATATCCCTTGCAAGATTAAGGTGCTAAACTTCAATCTACACTGCATAAGATACAAGTGTTGCTGCCAAAGCTCTATAATTTGATAGAACCATTCTTATGACCTTGTAGTGTTTAGATAGCATAGTTGACGCTACAATAGTACCTCTTTCTGATGATGTAAAAAACAGAAATTCGTGAGACTGCTATTTCTTATTTCACATGCGAAAGTTGTTATTGGTTTATCCTCTAAATTTATGTTCAATTTTTTGGGGGTTTCATCAAAAAAAATTTCTACGATTTTTTTCAGGGCAAGAAATGAGCCACGTGCATCAAAGTCTAAAGCATGTAGGGAAAAAATACGGCGGGATAGGCAAAACAAGAGGTATCTCACTTTAAGAGAAAAAAATTGCAAGTATACTATTTATTTGGTGCATGATTTTTGTGGTTAATCCATAGACTAGACCCTAATCTTGTGTTGCAAATGATTTTTGTTGATTTTTTAGGTTCATTGAATTGAGTTCAATCCTTGACCCCGGTAGACCTCCAAGAGCTGACAAAGCAAGTATTTTAGGTGATGCAACTCGTGTGTTGATGCGGTTGAGAGCTGAAGCACAAGAACTTAAGGAATCAAATAAAAAGCTTCATGAAACAATTAAGGATATGAAGGTGTGGTTTAAATTCATGCTTTTTTTTTTCTACCTATGAATTAGTATGGCTTCTAAGAATTATCTTACAATTTAGTATATGGTATTTCATGACGTGCCTCTGTTGGGCCTTTTTGTTCCACCATACTTTTTTTCCCCTCAATAGTGAAGAAAATTTAAAGGCAGACCTGTCGGGTTTCAGAAGAGAGGTGGATGGACATTATTTTTCACCGTTAATCTGCACATAGGATTGAGTAATTATTTCCTCTTCTTTCTGGACTGTCCTGAAGAATGATCCTTGAGTGATTGTGAGGATGCATAGATCTCGGAGAACCAGGATGGTCACTGTTGTCACCAAGGAAATTTTGTCTATTTATGTATTATTAGATTATGTATATTGTGTTGGCTTAAGATTTGCTTTGGGAACGAAAGGATTACAGACTTGATGAAATTACACGAATGTGTCAATGTTAATAGAGGGACTATTAAAAACTTTAATTTTATTTTGAATGAATCACGAAACTATCTCTGTTTCTTAGGCATACTGGATAATTTTACTGTGAGATAAATTGGTAGACCAAGTCTTATTTTTTGTTCCTGGTATTCTAATGCACGTTTATGATATCTAGGTGGAAAAGAATGAGCTTAGGGAAGAAAAGATGAGACTGAAAGCTGACAAGGACAGATTAGAGCAACAAATCAAGGTCTTGAGTGTGCCTCCAGTCGGCTTCTTGCCACATCCAATAGCATTCCATCCTGCTGCTGCCCCTGCTGCATTTGTTCCACAGGTTCAGGCCTCAGCTGATAAAACAGCTCCATTCTCTGGGTTCCCTGGAATGGCAATGTGGCAATGGTTGCCTCCTGCTGTCATGGATACCACACAAGACCCAAAGCTTTGGCCTCCAAATGCATAGCACTCCATTTCTTGTTAATCCCTTTTCTGATGTGAAAAAGGCTTTGCTTCTTACATTGAAAATGAACTTCTAATATTAATCAATGCTTCTAATATGATCATAATCTGCTAGGTTGTAGAAGATAACCGAATGGTAGCTTATTTTTATGGTTGCTAAGTTCTTTTGGATGTAACCCAGTGGAGAACAATGTTTGTAGTTCGACCGACAAGCTTCCTGATTGCTCTAATTTTCATGAAAATGTACTACTCTTTGTGGGCGAAACAACTTGGGTGTTATGGAAAATTAAGAACAAAACAGCTTTTGTACAATTGCAATCATTCAATATGTTATTTTTGCTTATATATATAGTGATTGAGACCTTTGTGCTGGTGCTTATTTCAACAGCAAGAATCTGATAGTTTGCACGCATCTTATAGCGGAGGACCCTCGCATCGCATCCCTTGGCGATCAGTTGGGCGCCGAGGAATTACGTGACGCGGCGGTGGGCCCCACTCCTGACAACAATGGTGATCGGGCCCGGTCGTTTAGCCAATCTAACGGAGGGTACCAATATGTGGCGATATTGGAAACGTAATGAACTAAATCTTTATGATTTAGATGATCAAGATCATACGTATATATGACCGCCTCGGTAACAACTCTCAGACGGGTGCTTATTCTAAAAGCACGCATCTTGATATTTTGCACGCAGCTCAAAGCACGAATTTGAATTTTTGCACGAATTTTATAGTGGAGGACCGTCGAATCGTGTCCGTCTGTTCGGAATAAAGCGCCGCACTGACAAGCTGGGACGGTGGTCGGGCCCGGTCGGTGATCGACGTCCATCGGTAAATCTACTATAGCTACGATCGTCGCTCAGTTCCGCACTTGGATAGGAAGGTGACGACCCCAAGTCGGTTTTCTGGTTTCGATCGGAACTCGAATCACTTCAAGGTACGTGAAGGTTGTGATCGTCGTTGGTGTTTTATTTTAGGTTTATGAGGTCATTATGTTCGATTGATGCTTCTTTGTTTGCTTCGTATCTCATCAGAGGTCTCATTTGGAATGTTTTGTGGAAGAGCTTAGTGTTAATTGATACCAGTAGACAGATAGGGTTTTAGGGGAGTGCATATTGACAAGATGATTCATGAAGCCGCCTCGAACGAATCTTATGGATAGGGCAAAATCGATCAAGAGTATGAGCACATGAAACCTAATGTAGTGGTTTTTCTTTTTGAGAAAATATCATTTTCATCACAGTATGTTCTGAGTAACACATTTTAGTCCAAGCCCAACCTATTATCTTTAGATAATGTATCATCATCTGTATCAATTTTCATCCATTTTCGGGTTGGAGCATTCTGCTGCTGAGTTTGTTGAACGTACTCTGGCCTACTTTAAAGTTTTTTTCTCCATATAATTCTGTATGTACTGCAAAGCATATAAAGGATCATATGCCTTCTTTTCATACATCTACTCATTACTGTCACTCCAAAGAAACACACAATTGATCCCTTCTGTTTTGAGTCCAAAAGTTTCATGAAGAATGGTACCTCTAATCTTTAAATGAAAATGTGGAATTCTCACTTGTGATCAAAGGCAATGGACATGGAAGCCAAATGTCTTTATCCCAACAATATAGCAAATGATGATAGCGAAACGATTGATGATGGTAATTATGAGAATTAGATCTTTATGAATAGGATAGAATAGTTGGATGTGTAAATAAAACTGTTTAGATTAGGTAGTAGAAGGCAATGGTAAGAGAAGTGAGCTTTTCAAGGATTAGAAATTTTTGCCTATAGGTTTGAACCTAAAGATGGCCTAAGGCAATGGTTAGCTCCTATGATGTGAAACAAAATTGACTTACTAAAAGAAGAATGATAATAGTCAGGACAATTGTGACACCCACTTCTGTAATGATGACTAAAGCAATAAACAGCAACAGGAAGGATTATACAGATTAAACAATAGCCATCAGGACATAGGCAACCTGAATCAGTTGAGAAATAGCTTCTTGGAAGATTCAAACACAGCTGAACCATTTATTAGAGAAACTTCTTCAGCATCCTTTTTCAATGTCCCATTGAATTAGACAATGATTGTGGTTTTCAGTAAGCTGTGTTCTTCAATTTCTGTTCTTGCTATATATACATAATCACCATGGACTCTGCTAGTGTTGTCTATAGTTGTTATGGTGTTTAGTTAATTCATCCTCGGGCTATATTAGTAGTGGCCTAATATTGTAGCTTATAAAGTCTGGCTTGCGACAACTTTGTCATTCTTCAATTAGGTCTGAGTATAATACAAAACCATGGAAGGAGCACAGATTCCTCTGAGGGTATGGCAACAAGCAGCAGTTGCTCTTGCTTCAGCTCTTGGCACCCTGATGTGATCGAATTTGAGCAAATGTTTCTTCCTATGTATGCACTGTCAGTTGTTGGAGGTTCAGCAAGGTTTACCGAAAAGCAAAGGGCCCTCTTCTTCCGGCATTACTTTCCTTGGGCTATTAGGGCGGGCGGGTATGGCGAGCACAAATCTCAGGTGTGTGTACTACGAGAAGCATTTCACAAGGACTTGGAGGATGTGCGGAAGAAATGGGGTAAAATTCCTTACCCTGATCCTAAAGGGAATAGCTGTATTTGTATTCGATTTTTTTTCCTTGGTGCTCAGGATTTACTTTGCTTCCTGTCCATGAAGCACCCATAAAAATTATAAAAAAAATAAAAAGGATTTCTTGAAATGGAAATTTTCTTATTGAGATGTTTATCATTGTGCTGCACATGTAAATTTTATAATACGATAAGATTGTTTCTTTGCGACCTACACTTGGGTTCGAATCATGAAAATATTTTCATACTGGATTTTTCTTTTCTACACATGTAAATTCTATAGGAGTATGTTAAAAACAAAAACTAATTACATATTATCTTCTGTAATTAGTTATCTTTAGCATCTTGATCTTTATATTTTCAAAAGTTACATTCAGATATTTACATTTATGAAAGTAAAACATTTAATTTCGTGCTCCAACAAAATATCTCATTTTTAACCATGTATAAGGATCTTAATATTTCACTTTCGTAAGTATAAACATCATAATATAATTTTTGAAATATAGGAATGAGATGCTAAAGATAGTCAAAAGATAATATCTAATTAGTCTTAGAAACAATATGTCACAGGTTGCATAACCAGTGACAGTCTTAGTTACATGCAACTTAACTGCAAGAAGCTGCAACTGCATTACAAAAACTTTCCATCAGTAGAAATATAATTTTGGTGGATGTTTTGCATTATAAAGTGATGTAATTGTTAGTATTGAGTTGAAAACAGCACTCCAAAGCTACAGGTAACTACTGGTTGAGGGAACAGGAAGCAGCCACTTCACCCCCAGAAGCTTGCCTCCCAGGAGGCTCTTCAGAGTTGAGCACTCATAATAGTTCTAGATGCCCTAAATACCTCTCTCTCTCTCTCTTTGGAGCTCTCATCGTTCCCAAATACAATAAGCTCAGTAAACATTTTTGGACTAGTGGTTAATAGGTCAATATATCATTGGATTGGATTGGATTGTGACCAACGACACCAATGCCGAGCTCGCTATGGATGGATGGAGACGGTGAGATAGCTGCCTATATGAGAAGTGTGGGATCCAATTGCAACCACATCACAACACAATAAAATCACTGTTAGGCTGAGCCTCGCAGGTGACATATTGGGTTTGTTTCTGGATTCCATTTTTCATCTTCAAAAATGCAATCCAGAAGCAAACTTTTTGGTCAGTGAGTGAATCTAACTCATCAAGTCAGTGAGTTAATATTCCAACAGTTAGGATCCTGACAAGATTTATCTCAAAATGTGATAGCTGTGATGGAGAGTCGCAGCTGATCTCAAGATACAATGGATGAATGTTGCAACAAGGGCGGTTTGACCAAAATATATACAGGAACTCTGATGGCCAAGTTGAAAGAGCCAAAGCACAAGGAATAATGAGGTGAAACAACCGTGGAACACAAGTTAAATTAGCATGATTGAAGATGAAGTACGATAAAAATTACACACGCTCACTTGCAAAAGAGTAAGTTTGATGCAAAGAAAACACTCTTCGCCTAATACACTCATCTACCAGCCATAGTACACAACACAGAATTCATTCGAGGCCGGCTCGACTGGGTATCGTCGTTCTCACTGTCATCATCGCTATCGGATGCATTACTTGTGTTGTTCATGGAATCCGAGGCACCAATAAGGCAGGAGATATGGTATGCACAGCAACAGAAGAAGACACCGACAGAAAGGTTCTGAGCGTAAAACGGATCGAAACACAAGCAACATCACCCGCGCCCCTCCCATATCCTCCGACTTGCTGATGATGACTGCAAGAGCTTGTTTCACATCTCCCATCCTTCCAAGTAAGAATACTTGCTCTCTAACAAGATCTTTTTCCACACAGATCTCATATGCCTGAAAGATGATGCTAGTCGGGCTTCCAGTTTACCACAATGATTTACAAACCAGCACAGGAATAGAAGTCTGAACCTTGGCTAGTCTATACTCTATAGTGCTGACTGCTGCCAAGAAATGGTGGCAGCATCTTTGGTTCATATTCTTCATAAAGCTCAACCTATAACAGAAAACAAATGTTATCCATACACATCATAAAAGAAGTAAAAGATGAATATGAGTATGTTGCTTTATCAAACAAATGCTGATGGGTGCTAATTTGGGATGAACAGTTAGAAAGAAACTTAGCTAATATATTTTCATGTTGCCAACTTGCAAACTTGAAGGAAACAGAAACGATTCAAAAAATGATTTAATTAAATGAGAGAAAATCATGAACTTTATATTCATTTAAGAACAAATCCAAAATATGCCACTCTATCACACTTGTCACCTCTCTGATTCAACTTAAATCTTTAGTTAACAGTATATGGATTGACATAATGCCATATGTTCCAAAGTACAAGTTAATAACAATCTTTTCATCCTAAACCATGTGGACTTGTTAGTAAAAACCCAATCCAAGCTCAGCTCAAGAAACCAACAAACTAATAACTAGTCGAGCGAAAGAAAAGACAGCATTGCAAAAGTGCATCATCAATTTTGTCTCTGATGTTATCATAACTAATATGGTTAGTCTTTATTAGTTAAGAAGATGGTGGCCCATTGTTGTCAATTAGGTATTCTGTTCTACTAAGGTCCATCTGGAGGGCAACCGTGTGGTATTGCATGTTATCACAGTATAATTACTTTGCTGCATGAACGCTTCCCAAGTGGTCTTCTGGCATATGATTTGAAAGCTTAGAATATCAGGGTCATACATCAATACCATGATAACAAAATGAAGACGAATTGCATTCACACACACACCCTTCTTATCCTTTTTCTCCTATTCTCTGAAAACATATAACCTCCCTCTCTGTCTTTAATTGCCATCACACTCCAAGTCATTCTATTAGAGTCTGATGGCCTCACTGTGAGGACACCCTATGGCAAAACCAAGGGCAAGAAGGATGCCCTTCAATTTAGCAAGTACATTACATGCCAGAAACACCAAAAAGTAAACAATGTCCAACATGATCTTCAATTTACTTTTAAATATCATCGAGAGAATTCTACCAAGCAAAATTTGAGTGCCAATCGACATCTAAGTTTGAGAAAGTTGGTTAGGAGGTTAACTTGAGGTTGCAAAATTTCCATTAAAGGTAAATGATATACTTCCTAGTCTTTTCCATTATGTTTACCTAAATGCTGCTTAAATTATCATATTATTTTCAAAATTAGTTTTAAGCTCTCTAGTACTTTCTACCATGTTTACTTTGTAACTTAAGCTTTATTCATGTTTTAATTAAACCTGATAACTTCATCACTATTTCTTTCTGCAAATGTTGGATCGGGCATGTACCTTTCTCTACTTGCATATGGTATTCTAGATAAGGTATACTATATATTGGTAGTCTACATAAGTGTATGACATCCCTGTTGCTAGTACTTTGCACTGTGCATAGTGCATATCAACAATTCTGAAAACATCATATTATGCATTAATTTAGTCAGTATATGTATTTGGTTCAAATCATGGAGATTGGTGTCCAACAATGGGTTCCAAACATTAACAACGCAAGTTTCATGGTTTCATGTGCTTATTCAGCCTTGACTATGGAGAGTATATGTGAGGTAGGGATGAGCCTAAGCATGAAGAGCCATCATTGCCTATAATCTAAAAAATTAATACATAAAAGAAGCACCATCACTATGATGGATTGTGTTATGGTCATTTACACAACTCTATTTGTAAGGCCAAAGATTGGCCCAGCCATATGTTGGCATCAAGATTTCAAATAACACAAAGATGATAGGAAAGATGTAATCATGACAAACCAAATGGGATAAGGCTGAATACCGGCAGATGATATTCATTATCTGAAGCCTACTTGCAATAGGACATAGTACCAGAAGAATGATTGGTTTCCTGATTCTCCTGACTTGCATTTACTGCCTTTTTCTCAGTCTTTCTTTTCGTCCTAGTCTTGTTATCCAGCTGCAGCTTCTTTCTTATCTTCTTCCCATACGATCATCGTTGAACTCCTCGTCGGTGTCCTACAAGTAAGTCACCACCAAATGAAGAAAGGATTATAAATTAATCTAAAACCATAACCAGAGTACACAAGATAAACCACCTATCCAGCTGAAAGTGCAGACTTTGGCAAAAGATACAGTGGTGGAAAGAAGAAAGCAGCAAAGATTGGGTTAAGGGTGTAAGAAAAAGTCAAATCACTTCAAGAAATCCGGGCTTACCTTCACCAATGGCTCATCCTGCTCCTCGTTTTGGGATCCATCCACCAACATTGGCCTTGCGAGAATCGTATTCCTCATTGACCTGGCATCTCCCACAGTGACCTTAGCTGCTGACTGGGGAGCCTCGTCCTTCCTCCTCGGCCATCTCTTTCCCTCCCTAGTTTTCTCCTCTTCCCTTACCTCCTCCAGTGAAACCCTAGCCATGCTCTTCCTGAACATCGAGGAATAAGAGGAAAGCCAAGTTTTGGTGCTCCTACTCCTCTTCCTACTTGATTCTGATGTTTTCTTGCTTATGATATTGAAGTACTCTTATTGATAAGAAGATTAAGATTTGCACATGAAGACTTCCTTTTAGTAAACAGAGTTTGTTACCAGAGGGTTTCAAGAATCTTGATTCTTGATCAAGATTTCCAAGGGAGTAAGCAGCATTTAGTAATGGATTCTAGAATCAGTGCAAAAGAGTGACTGACAGTGCAAAGAAAAGTAGAAACTAAGGTAAATGGTTAAGATGAGCCAACAGTGATTTTTTGTTTTCTTGTTTTTATGGATTACTAATGCATTACAATTGTAAGATTTGGATGTCTGTTCTGCATCAGATCTATGAAGTGATGTTCTTGAACATTGGGTTCAATTTCATTCTGTTTCTTTAATCTAGGTCTGGGTTGGATTTGTTGAGGAACAAATAGCTCTAGATTTAATTCAACCATAACATAAAAAATTAATATGTTTTATGTAAACTATAACTTGTATACAACTTGGCATACGAAAAATATATTAGTATGCATTTAGAATCAAGTGACAAACCAGATCAAAATTAGTGACTATTGATGCCTAGCAAGTAGCAACTTTGTTGCACTTCATCTGCATGATTAGTGTTTTACATGAATCTAGAAACAAACAAGTAAATTAGCAACTCAAGTACCAACAAGTGCATAATCATAAATTTTAGGATGATAAACAAGTTGCATAGGAGCAAAAGGGGATACGAGTCATAAGATTTTGAGAGGCGAAGTTGCAAAACCCTGATAAGTGTATGAAAATAAGCTTCACATTAATATTTCTTTTTTGAAGAAAAATATGAAGAGACAAACCCATTTGTTAGAAAGAAATACAAATTGTCTCAAGCTTAAGCTCAAATCAATTCTAACCTAATAAGAAACCCATTTGAACATAAAAACAATGTTCTAACATGGTAATGCCACAGCTGCACTGATTTTAGAATCAAATGTTTTATGATTCCTTTTCTTCCATAGGATATCCCAACCAGCAGTGAGATTTTGGACAAAATGCTTGTGCCTCCAATCATCACATAGTTCAATAACGAGATCAAACCATCAACCAACATCGTCCAATGACCTTCATGAAAGATCAATGGATGCATGCACCGAGTAACTTCTACATGATCTGGTACAAAAGGTCACTTCTTTGGCATTTTCAATTTCTTGCAACTAGAAGGTTTCTCTTCACATAAGCTGTAAAAGAATATTCAAACTTAAATCATCCATGGAAAGCAAATTTTTTGATAAATTATGGTGCAAACTCGAACAAAGATGGAACATGAGCAAGCATGAGAAAAATATAGCACTCTGTAAATTTTTCTTGATTGAAGAGTACAACTTGATTAGGCTATTTCAAGAAGGAATTACATAATCACACTGAATATGGCAATTTTAGGATGTATGCTCGAGAAAGGTTAATGAGAGCATGAAACAAAGAGGAATGCTAGCAACAAATAACTACAGATTACTTCAAGAAAGAAAGTGAATTAGACTAACAGATGCCGTCATCAGTCTATCCCCCACAAAAGAAATGCATATAACATTTTCTTTAAAAAATTCAGAACTTACCCTTCCCACATGCGCTTACGCCTTGGGGTCATAAAACTTGAAGCTTGCATCGATTCACCTACAACCATATTGGCATGACTAGGCTGAGTGCCAGAACCACATCCATTGAACAATGCCAACGTCTCAGCCAATTTGGGAGCACAGGCACTTTCTGCATGTTCTTTAAAATATTCCAACAACACAATACCTGAAATAGAGTTAACACTGAGTAATAATTTTTCTCACGATTAAGACAGACAAAGGATAACCCTCCATTGAAGGCAATTCCTATATAATCTGCATACTATCCTCATGTAATTACTCCATGTTGTCAATGAAAGTCAATTTTCCATAAACCACATCACTTAAGAGACATATACCACCTCACAGTCCTTCAATTTTGCTTTCAGATTGTTGTTTAAAGCAACTTGCTAATAAAAATAAGTTTTATCATATTTGCACAGAGTATGACAAAATATTGCAAGAAAAAACAAAATCAACCAAGACCTATCTTCCATTTAGATAAAAAAAAAATGACAATTGTCTTGAAGAAAATAGCAACCGCAAAATGCTAGGATAATTGGTAACTGGGGATCAAAGTCATTAATAGTATAAGAACTAAAATTCTGATGCGACCAAATAAAATAACATTTTATCGATGTCAAAAGCACAATCTTAGACAAGCACCACATAGATATGGGATGGGGTTTCAAAAAAAGACCAATTAAGATTTTTGGTACATGTGGAGTGAGAATTTTCACAATAATGATCATCGGTAAAAATGCATATACCACATAAGAATTTTGTCAAAATTACGTAGCCATTGTTGTACCTTCCAAATATGAACCTCTTCAATACATTATGTCACGTGAAAGAAAACTTGCAAAAAAATTATCTATACAATCAAATGTTCCATCATGGCATTTCAGATAAATAACAACTTGGTTCTGAGTAACAATTGACAAAATTCAGGCATTATGTAGCTGATTCAAGACTCCTAGAAACCATCTCACATCTTGCAAAGTTCATCAAACTTACCAACCAAAAAATGTGAATAAAACCTTCCTAGAACAAAGTTGACAAAATGATTTAGCAAATCATCACATGTGTGAATATTTCACCTTCACAAGGTGAAATTATGAATGACGAACAAGGAAATAAATTTAATTCTCCGTCACACAACAGCACCAGAAGATCCTTGTCTCCTCCTCTAAATGCATTTTTCAAAGGTGCAACTTTTTCTCAACAATCGTCTCATTTAGACACCCAAAAACATCATCGCAAATCATACAGTTAATCTTAAATTCAAAAGCTTAAATTAAACGGAACAATGTGGCTCCAACTTACCCAGAGCTCTAAGCATTTTCACATCAAATTTGTCGGCAAGATACTTATGGCCAATGGTTTTTGCCCGTCTGACAATCAATTCTTTCAGGCTAATAAGAAAATCCTGCATATGGATATGAAAACAAATTTACATTTGAGGCCGAAGAAAGCACAAAATGACAGAAAATTCAAATTTACATATGGATATGCCAAGGACTAGAGATGCGAGATGATTCCAGAGTACATAATACAAAAAAGGACACCGACGTGAGGCCAAGCAGATTTGCTGGTCAGATTCACGGAGTGAAACAAGCAAAACAACAACCTCTCATGGATAACGCCACCAATCTACTTGAGAAACAGAAAGGGCAGGTGCAGAAAGAGTCGGGTTTGCAGCGCTTACAAGTTCGGGTTCGGAGATGGAAGAAAGCCATGCCACGTCTCCTCCTCCTCCACCTCCACCGTCACCGCCCTCGCCGCCGCTTCCGCCGGCCGATCCATCTCGGATGTTGCTCTGCGAGGACTCCATACACCAGATCAACAAGAGGGAAATGGCTCCTTCCCTCGAGAAGTTGCGTATTAGGGTTTTCCTAGTTTTCTGTGTCGGCGGAGAACCGGGGAATTAACTACGTCTCGTACTGGCCGATCTCCTCCATCGTAGGTGATCGAGGCTGCGGCCGTCGAAAGGATAGAGGTCGAGGAAAGGGCTGAGTGGGAACTGCCCGGCCGTGTCGGCGGCGCTAGCGTGGACGGCAGCTTGCTGTAGTCAGCGGTACAGCGATGGGCGGAGTCGGCCCTTCCGTGGGCAGTTGCTGCGGTCGGCGGCACTGCTGTGGGCAGCGGCGGGCGAAGGCCTGCGATGGTCGCTGGCCCTGCCGCTGTGCGGCGGCCTTGTTGAGGGCGGTGGCTGCACAGAGTCGCGACAGGAAGTATCGTCGTGGCGGTACTGCTTGGCGGCGGCTGAGGCTGATGGCGTCGCCGGAGGTCTTGTGGCTGCAGCGGTGGTTTTGGGTGGCCACAACTCGGCCTTTTATAGTGAGCCGGCACGGATTCCACTCGGACTCGTGCACCATAGATAATCTAATTCATATCTTAATTAACCCGTTAAACCTAATTAAGTTTATAGAAGTTTATAAGATTTGTGAGCTTAATCTTAAGGGAACAAAAATGTTACGCTCATAAGCTGCAACAAAGCTTCTCCTCAACTCATCTTCTTCGATGGTTCGTATTAGGAACTAATCTCATCGTCTGTTACCATTGCCATCACGAACAGAGATTTGCCAACAATGGGTAACTCCAAAATCGAAGTTGAGTTGCAAAACACTTGATTCTGTAGACACAGCATGCAAAAGATCAAGCAGCTTAGATAATTGACTGTAATTAATGTCGACCATTAGGATTCCTGACAAGGAGTATGGCCGGTTTCAAACACTAGTGATATGACATCCATGTAACATTATAATTCGTGCGAATTATTTATCATATCAGTTAATTACATATTACTCTGCTATGCTTCATGGAATTAGTTATTTTTATATTTTAAAAAATTATATAAGTAATCATATAATTATAAAAGTAAAATATATAGATTCATTTATCCTAATAACGTCAAATTTATCAAAGAAAATATGAAAATAAAAAATAAAAAATAATTTTAACATTTAGTGACGAACGACTATGACGTTGGAGTCGATGCCGACGTAGTTGTTTGGCCACCTCCGACGACGATAATATTTGCTCTCATCGTGATGCCACCCATCGACCTCATCATTGCTCGTCTTACGCTCTACATTCGCGTCAACGCTAACACAATTATCGCTTGAAAATTATGTCGATGTCGACATAGATATTTGTGGCTACTCTCCATCCCTCTGCTTTTTCACTATCCCATTTTCCTTAAAGTAATGCCTCAAAATCCCCAAATCCTCCTCCCCTACCTCGTCATAACTAAGGACGTCTTTGCCCACCCTCTCCACCACACGCAAGTTTTAATTATGATGGAGGGGGTGGGCAAAGACGTCCTTAGTTATGGCGAGGTGGAAGAGGGATTTGGAGATTCTGGGGCATTGCTCCTAGGATAATGGGATAGCAAATGAGTGGGGGGATGGGAAATGACCACCATCATCTGTGTGGACACCAATATAGTTTTCGAGCGATAATTGCGTTAGCGTCTATGTAGATATAAAGTAACATAAGACGAGTGACGATAAGACCGACGATGTCCTTCTCGTGGAAGTAGGTGACATCACAATAAGAGCGAACCTTATCATTATCGGAGGCGGTTAGACAACTACGTCAGCGTTGATACCAATAGTGCTGCCATCCGCCACCATCGACATTGTTCGCTACTAAACGTTAAAATTATTTTTATCTTTTATTTTTATTTTTTTATTAGTAAACCTAATATTATTATAATAAATAGACTTAGATACTTTACTTTTATAATTATAGAAATATTAATATAATTTTTTTAAGTATACAAGTCAGAATACTATAACTAACTCCCCGGTAATATTACCGATTAGCGCACAAAAGTTTCTGTTATTGTTATTGTTATTATTATTATTATTATTTATTATGTTGACTGTTGAAACGTACTTAACATGCGTACTAATAAACATTTTTTTCTCTCTTTTTGCAGTGATTGTTGTTGACACGTAGGTGTTCTCAGAGAATCCGCAGATCCAAATCGAACCCGTCGTTGATGCTGATCCACTCCTGAGGGCCGCATTCCTTAGATCTCAACCTTACGTTCGCCCTCTCTTCATATCTCCACCGTCAATTTATTAGCGCCTCAACCTTCCGGTCGGATGTAGCTGTGGGGATGGACGGTCGAAATACGAGGACAGAGTCTTTGGACGGTTTAGATTGGATGATAGGGGAAACGGATTCGATTCGAATAGTAGAAGATCCTCATGGACTCATCCAATCATCTGTGGGTGACCGACACAACACACGAGGCGGACATATTGACCACAATAAATGTGCCGTGAATTCATCAAAGAGACGTGGCAATTGCCGGAACCACTCACCTAACCAAGTTGATCGGACGGCTTAGATCTCTACACAGACACGTGTAGCAGATCTAACCACTGCGTAATTCTTCACGTTCGAGTTTGGTTGCGGCGTGTAAAGTTTGCACTATCATCCCTGCTAAGATATAAAATTGCAAACACCTTTCAAGGATGGATATATATATATATATATATATATATATATATATATATATATAAAAGTAAATATAAATATAATTACAAGATAATTATTTAGGATCCTTTATGTGAATATTTTGTTATTATTGAACTATGTACACATTAAAGTTTATTTAATTAAACTAATAATATATAAGTTTTTATTTAAAGTTTTAGTAAAATTCTTTGATTCTCCTTCTATTTCTCCTTATATTACTATTAATAATTATCTCGTCCATTCTAACTTAGTAAAAATCTTCTTAATATATATCCATTTAAATTTAAATAATTAATTTTATTTTATTTCTTAAACAATGTGGTGCTTTAAGACAAAAGCCACTTTCAAGGACGTATAAGCAATTTCAAATATTGTCCTGATAAAGAACATAATTTGACATTATGGCGGGGACGAATATGCAATTTGGGCTTGGCATCGTTGGCTATAACCGTTCATTAATATGAAATAATTCGTTGGTCACACAGACATCCCAACCGTCCATCACGAACTCCACGGTTGATGAAATCATTTGACGGTTCAGATCCTTAGAAAAATAACGGAAGTTTCGGAGAAAGACCGGTAATTCCACCTCGTCCCTCGAAACCCAGCCCACAGAAAGCAAAACCCGTCTTCAGCTCCTCATTCCCGGTTTCATTCTCCTGCGATAGCCACTGCGGGATCCGGAAATCCTAATTCTACCTCTGGTTCCTCGCCGCGCGGACGAGCCGTGGCGGAGCGGGATCAGGGTCTCCAAATCGCTCCCGAGGAAGCGGAGAAGGTTCTATCCTCTATGGGAACGGACCCGATTGAGGATTTTTGGATCGACGGTGGCGATTCCGATGGCGAGCTGCAGTACGCCCTTGGTAGCTTCCGCGACATGGTTCCGACTGCTGGGTACCCGAAATCTTAACTCTCATCCATTTCACATGGTCACTGGTTGTGATTCGTCTGTTTATTTGTGTCTGCTCCGAGATTCCTCGGGCGAGGCAGTTTTGGTGCTCTGGTGGGGTTTCACATCCTTTTTGTGCTAATCTAACGCGTTTTGGGTTGACAATTGCAACAGAATGGGGAATGAAGAGACACAAAGGGATTTCCGCAGTCTTGAGCAGAATAGCTCTGGAAAAAGGTAAAATTTTCTCTTCTTTCCCTGATAATTCTGTGAAACTTACAATTTCAGAGTCTATGGATTCTGGATTTGGATATATTGTACGATGAATTTGTTTCATCCAGCCGGTAGAGATATATATTTTGTAGACCTTAATCTTGGGAAAGGGAAAATATGACAATCCTCTCAAGTTCCTTATGTTTTTGTGTTTGTACATAAGAAGTGTCATGTGGGGATCAGCAATCTTATAATTGAAATTGGGGTGAATAATTTATTGGGAGAATCGCCTATTTTTTATACATGGATTTACATTGTCTATGAGGAGTAATATGGTGTTAATTTGAAGTTTTAATTTTCTATTTTCATACATTTGGATTTTGTACTTATTGAGCATCTCTTATACCTGATACTTTTCCTACTAAAAGTTAAAGCCCAACTTAGGAGCATTTCTCTCTTTATCAGATCGCTTTAGTATGTCTGGTTTAGTGTGGACTTCTTCCATAAGGAGTAACAGTGACGTTGTATAAATTACAGTTCAATATGCCACCGTGTTCTTTAGTGACACTGCAATTTATATTTGCTATAAGGAGATGGATGTAATCATATTATTTCCATTCATCAAATTAAGTTAGAAGAGAGCAATGAGGTCTAACATCATTGAATGGAGATTTAAGTTACAACTGTCATCAAAGAAGTTTTACTTACTTCGTGGTTGTGAAAGGGGTGCAGGTCAATAAATGAACTCGAGTAAAATTATTTTGTTTACGAAAAGTGATTTTGGTTTTGTTTCATGAAGACTGGATGATGGTTTTAACTAAGAACCATATGTGATGGAAGGTGAAGTTTCTAACTCTATACATACCCGTTGCAAGATCAAGTTGCAATACTTCAATCTGCACTGCATAAGATACTAGGTTGCTGTCAAAGCTCTATAATTCGATAGAACCATTCTTATAACCTTGTAGTATTCAGATAACATAGTTGAGGCTACAATAGTACCTCTCTCTCTCTCTCTCTCTTTGACACTTTCTAATGATGTAAGAAAACAGAAATATTCTTAAGACTGCTATTTCTCGTGTCACTTGCTAAGGTTGTTATTGGTTTATTCTTTAAATTTATGTTCAAATTTTTGGGGAGTTCATCAAAAAAAATTTCTATGATTTTTTCAGGGCAAGAAATGAGCCACATACATCAAAGTCTAAAGCCTGTCGTGAAAAAGTACGACGGGATAGGTTAAATGAGAGGTATCTCACTTTAAAAGAAAAAAATGCAAGCATAGTATTTGTTTGCTACATGTTTTTTTGGTTCGTTGCTAGACCCTAATCTTGTGTTGCAAATGATTTTGAATGATTTTTTAGGTTCCATGAATTGAGTTCAGTCCTTGATCCCAATAGACCTCCAAGAGCTGACAAAGCAAGTATTTTAGGTGATGCAACTCGGGTGTTGATGCAGTTAAGAGCAGAAGCACAAGAACTTAAGGAATCAAATGAAAAGCTTCATGAAGCAATTAAGGATCTGAAGGTGTGGTTTACAGTCATGTTTCTTTTTTTTTTTATCTTTTTCCTACCTACGAATTACTATGGCTTCTAACAAGCATCTTACAAATTGGAATATGATATTTCATGATGCATCTCTGTTGAGCCCTTCTGTTCCACTGTTCCTTTTTTCTATCTATAGTGAAAGGAGAATCAAAGACAGACCCATCGGGTTTCAGAAGAGATATGGATGGAGGGATAGTCACATGGTCTTGATATTGTTTTTCACTATTTATCTGCACATAGGTTATAGGATTGAGTAATTATTTATTTTTCTTTCTAGACTGTCTCGATGAAGATTCTTCGGTGATTGTGTAAGGACATAGATCTCAGAGAACCAGGATGGCTTAGATCACCATGGGAAATTTTGTTTGGTTATGTATGCTTAGATTATGTTTACAGTGTTGGCTTAAGATTTGTTTTGGGATCTATAGGATTACAGACTCGATGAAATTACACAAATGTTTCAATATTAAGAAAGGGACTATCTTTATTAACAACTACAAATGTTTTTTTGAATGAATTATGAAACTATCTTGGTTTTTTCTTAGGCATGCTATTTAGCTAATTCTACTGTGAGATAAATCGGTAGACCAAGTATTACTTTTTGTAACTGGTATTCTAATGCACCTTTATGATGTCTAGGTGGAGAAGAATGAGCTGAGGGAAGAAAAGATGAGGCTGAAAGCTGACAAGGACAAATTAGAGCAACAAATCAAGGTCTTGAGTGTGCCTCCAGCAGGCTTCTTGCCACATCCAATGGCATTCCATCCTGCTGCTGCCCCTGCTGCATTTGTTCCACAGATTCAGGCCTCAACCGATAAAACAGCCCCATTTGCAGGGTTCCCTGGAATGGCAATGTGGCAGTGGTTGCCTCCTGCTGTCATGGATACCACACAAGACCCAAAGCTTTGGCCTCCAAATGCATAGCACTCCATTTCTTGTTAATCCCTTTTCTGATGTGAAAAAGGCTTTGCTTCTTCAATTGAAATTGAACTTCTAATATTAATGGATGCTTCTAATGTGATCATAATCTGCTAGGTTGTAGAAGATAGCCGAATCTTAGCTTATTTTTTGGATTGGATTTCCAAGGGTATATGGTTGCCAAGTTCCTTTTATGTGTAACCCAGTGGAGAACAATGTTTGTAGTTGAACGGACAAGCTTATTGATTAATCTTAATTCAATCATTCGGTATGTTACTTTTGCTTGTAACGATAGTTTGTGCGTGCTATTCTTTAGAACAAATAACTTGTGTTATTCTACTTCTGTTTGGTGTTTGGAGTTTGACTTTTAAATGTTCAAATATTGACTTACCAGTATTGGCAGTGACATCAATCCAATGACAATTTCAAATGTCAAATGTTGGAATTCTATGCTCTTGCAATCATGTTTGCGTGTATGACGCCATGTCTAAGTTGAAATTTCGGAAGAGCACGACTCTTTGTCTTGCATTGTCTCTTAATGATTTAGATGATCAAGATCATATATACATATATATAAATATATAATTGCACCTGTATGAGATGTGCAGGTGCTTATTCTGAGAGCACGAATCTTGAGATTTTGCAAGCATCTTATAGCGGAGGACCGTCTAATCGCGTTCATAGCACAAATCTTATAGCGGAGGATCATCGAATGGGGCGTCCCTCTGTTAGAAATGAAGGAGTTACTGGAACGGTGCTGGGGCCCGGTCGACGAGCCAATACTGCTTAGGGTAGAAATGTCTTGTGGTTTCGGAAGAGGAAACGAACTAAATTATGTTCCCGGAACCCTGCGCCCGTAGATTTATCGATTTCCATCGGTGAATCTACTGTCGCTACGATCGTCGCTCAGTTCCTCGCTTGGATAAGACGGCGACGACCCCAAGTCGGTTTTCTGGTTTCGATCGGAACTCGAAGCAATTCAAGGTACGTGATCGCTGTTGTTGTATGTTTACGAGGTCATTATATTCGACTGATGCTTCGTTTTTTGCTTTAAGCTTTATGGAAGAGTTTTTTGTTAACTCATACCAGTAGGCAGATAGGGTTTAGGACTGCATATTTGAGAAGATGATTCACGAAGCCGTGCCTCGAACGAATTTTGTGGATGTAGCAAAATCGATCAAGAAAACTAATTTGGTGGTTTTATTTAGAACATAGCAATTTCATGCCAATATGGTCCAAGGAACACATTTTAGTCCAAGCCTGACCTTTTATCGTTGAACGTATCGATAGTGTATCAATTTTCATCCGTTTTGGGTTGGGGCTTTTTACTGATGAGTTTGTGAACATATTCTGGCCTATTTTGTTGTGTTATTTTCTCCTTCAGACGATTCTGTATATACTGCAAAGCATTTAAAGGATCTATTGGTTGTTGTCACTCCAAAGAAACACACAATTGTTCCCTTATGTTTTAAGTCCAAATTTTTCATGGCAGAAGGTACTTTAAATGAAAAGGTAGAATCTTCACTTAACGATCAAAGACAAGGGACATGGAAGCCAAATGTTTGTAGCCCCACAATATAACAAATAATTATAATCATATGATTGATGATGGTAATGATGGGGATCAGAGTTTTGCAAACCAATACTTTGTAGAGGACAAAATAGTCAGTCGTGTAAATGAAACCGTTAAGATAATGTGGTAGAAGATAATGTAGTAGATGGTTTTTCCAAGATTAGAATTTTTGCCTATTAGGTTTGTACCTAAATATAGTCCAAGGAAATGGTTAGCTCTTCTTTCACTTACTGAAAGAAGAGTGATAATAATAAGAATGATTGTAACAACCACTGCAATAGTAATGACTAGAGCAATAAATAGAAACATGGAGGATTATAGACATTAAGCAAGAGTCATCAAGATATGAAGACAATTAACCTGATTCAGTTGAGAAATAGCTTCTTGGAAGATTTAAGCTATGCTGATCCATTAAATAGAGAACCTTCTTCAACATCGTTTTTCAATGTTCCATTGAAGTAGACAATGATTATAGTATAATTTTTTTTTTAGTAAGTTGTGTTCTTCAGTATCTGACTATCTGTTCTTGCTGTATATGCATAATCACCATGGACTCAGTTAGTGTTGACTGTAGTTATTATGGTGTTTTGTTAATTCATTCTTGGGCTCTATTAGTGGCCTAATATTGTAGATTATAAAGTCTGGCTTGTGACAACCGTGTCATTCTTCAAGTAGGTCTGAAGTTAAATTCAAAATCATGGAAGGAGCACGGATTCCTCTAAAGGGATGGCAACAAGCAGCAGTTGCTCTTGGTTCAGCTCTTGGTGCCTTGATGGATCCTAGAAGAGCAGATTTGATAGCTGCGCTAGGTGAGACCACTGGGAAGCCAGCTTTTCAGCGGGTACTTGAGCGGATGAGGAATAGAAGCGAAGGCAGAGTGAGTACATACATCTACTTGACAACCAAAGAAACAATCAGTTCTATATTTCTCAAGTAATGAGTTAATGTTGTGTCCCACAAAATGTTAGTAAAAGTTTTGTAGAGTGTGATCTTTTACACGCCGTAGTAGTTATGTATTTGACTGGTCAAGATAACTAACTTCCTAAGATTTTAAAATAATAAGCTTATGCATGTGTATAGGTACATGAGAATATATGTGATATATCACATTAACCAGAGGTGAATGCAGGCATCATAAGGACCATCGATTTATTAACTGGTTTAAAAACCCTACAGGATACCTCAATTTTCCATGTTGAACCCTCAGTTATTGGCAATTCTTCTTCTGTGACATCTAGCTGTAATGCCTGTTAAAGCCTATTCATTTGTTGTGTGCTTATTGACTGTGCTAGGTCTGATAGGTTGTCAGAACCAATATTCGACTGATTCTGGTCGGAGTTTGATCACTGATAGAGGCTTAAGACAATAAATAAATTATTTTGACACACAAAGGCGGCACCTTAATAGGGATTTGGAAGAGAACAACATGTGAATTCACATGAAACCCTATTTATTGGAACATTTTCTAAGTCAGAGGCTCCAGAATTCTATGGGAAGGTGATTTTTTTTTGGGAGACACATGCAGAAGTTTTTAATTTCGAACATCAATATTCTGAAGTGTGGAAAAGGAAACTTGCTTTTGCCAAATTTAGATGTGCATCAAATATGCGTTGGTGCCGAACACTTGAATCTTATGATCGGTAGGAGTCACATAACCACATGGGAAGAGATGATAGCCCTTCCTAAGGGTGAATTCCTTTGTCTATTGTTAACAATCTTAAGCAAAATTTCTAATAAGCATGAGATTCAACATAATCATCTTAGTATTTTCATGCACTTGACTATGGTAACTGGAGCATGCATGAGTTCCGTCACAAGTGTCGTCACAACTTAATTGTTTTACCTGATTCATTGTAGAATGTTTTTCTTTCAGGAAGTTCTTCTAGAGCGTCCACGTGTAATATCTGCCGAAGTGTCACATGCCTGGGATTTGCCAGAAAGCACATTCGGTTCCGCTTATGCAAGATTCATGGGAACACGAAACTTCTCTCCGGATGACCGTCCACCAGTCCGATTCATGGACACAGATGAACTGGCGTATGTGGCCACACGTGCTCGTGAGGTGCATGACTTCTGGCATGTCCTGTTTGGCCTTCCGACAAACCTGATAGGTGAGTCTGCTCTTAAAGTGATTGAATTTCAGCAAATGTTTCTTCCTATGTGTGCACTGTCAGTTGTTGGAGGTTCAGCGAGGTTTAGCGAAAAGCAAAGGGCTCTCTTCTTCCAGCATTACTTTCCATGGGCTCTTAGGGCAGGTATGGCATCCACGGATCTTATGTGTGTGTACTATGAGAAACATTTTCACGAGGACTTGGAGGATGTGCGGAAGAAATGGGGTATAATTCGTTGCCCTGATCCTAAAGGGAAAAGCTGAATTCGTATTTGGTTATTTTTCACTGGTGCTCAGGAAAGATTTCCCTTGCATCCCTGTTGGAAAAAACAATAAAATAAATAAAAAAGATTTCACCAATTGGGATTATTCTCATCGAGATGTTTGCCATTGTGTTGCGCACGGAAACTTTGTAGTGTAGTATGATAAGATTGTCTCTTTACGACTTGGATGACTTGGGTTCGAGTTACGGAAATCTTGGAGCGGAGCACAGTCTTCATCTCTTTTGCTCATGTAAATTTATTTTATAGGAGCATGCCATACTTTTCAAATAAGAATCATGTTTCAGGTGGCATAACCAGTCACGATCTTAATTACATGCAACCGAGTTGTACAGAGGCTGCAACTGAACTACAAGCACTTGCCTTCGATAGAAGTATGAGTTTGCCGGATGTTTTGCATTATTAGGTGATGTTGTTTGTATTATTGAGTTGACAACAGCAGATACGCAAAGCTACAGATAAGCATAGGGGGCGGCAGCCCACGCCACACTACCAATGAATGTAAAACAAAAGGGATAATAATATTCATTTAAAATTGAGATGCCAATATGAAAAAGGTGGAATAAAATTGATTCTGGATGGATTACATGTTGATCTTAAAGATGGCGTCAAACATTCGATGAAAGAGAGGAAAACATTCATTCAAGTCCTATGTTGGATGCAAGAGAAAACTTAAGTGAGCATACCATCATTGATTTAAATTTGAAAATTTTTGGTTGGTGATTCCAACACGTCAAGTCGACGGAGTTAAGCTCGTGACAAGACTGGTCCCAAATGTGATGCCCGATCTTAAAAGATGATGGATGAATCTTTGTAGCAAGTCAGTTTGACCAAAAGGTTAAAAGAGCCAAAGCAGAAGGACTAATGAGGTGAAACAGCTGTGGAAGAGGTCAAATTAGAAAGATAGTGATTATTAACCTACAAAACACATTTGCCAATTAGGCATAAAAATTACACATGCTCACTTGAAAAAGCATAAGCTCACCACAAAGAAAACACTCTTCCGCTGCCTAATACACTCATCTACCAGCCGTAGTGCACAACACGCAACACATTCCGGACCTGCTCGGCTGGGTATCGTCGTTCTCACTGTCATCGTCGCTATCGGATGCATTACTTGCTTCGTTCATGGAATCCGAGGCACCGATAAGGCAGGAGATATGGTATGCATGGCAACAGAAGAAGACAACAACAGAGAGGTTCTGAATGTAAAATGGATCGAAGCACAGGCAACATCGGCCGCCCCCCCTAGTTTTGGACTTGAGTTCCATCGTCTTTATGCTGCTTGATGCTCTTTCAACTTTCTGGCCAAAAGCTGTATCGTCTTCCTTCTTCCTGTTTCCTTCTTCTTCGATTCCCAAGTGGACCGCACGCCGAGCTTCGTTGTAATACTTGACCAAAAGGTTCACACAGTCGGTCTGAAAAGTGTTCAAGCAAGATTGAATGACAAGATAAAATATGAAGAATAAATTCAACAAGTTAGAATACACAAAAAAAAAAGAAACTGCACCTTTAGGATATCATTGCATCCATGTCTCAGAGAGGTTTCTGTTCGATAATCAGTTATGATTTTCACAAGACGATCCCTTAACCTAAGAGCATTTACGGAAATAGAAATTAATTGCAACGACAATGACAGAAAAGAGCCAGCAGCATGGTGCGACAGAGATGTATAGTATATGCAGATAAAATCTTTTTGTACAACAGTAAAAGATGAATGGATTATCAAACAGGTAGGTTATGCCAAACAAAATGAAAATAACAACCCACCAAGCAGGCAACTGAATCAACCTACAGGTGATCAACCTAAGCGATTCAATTGCACGAGGCTAATGTCCTGAGGTAGAGGGTCCAACAAGCAAAGATGTGCAAAATATAATACTACTAATTATTCATTCTCACCTTGGGATCTCTAATCCATCCGGAACCTTTTTGACAATATACAAGGGATCAAGGTTACCAACTGTGTGCTCCAGTAACATTCCTATCTGCTCATTGTTGTAAACAAGAACAATTATAGTCATAATATATAAATATCATGGAAAATATCCATGTAACCTAGTTTTGCTTCTCGTATGTACCATTTCAGGCTTACGGAGACATTGCTTGATCAATTCCTCCCATAAATCATCATCATGCTGCATAGTAACAAATTCTACAGCCTGCATGCGAAGTTCGGGATGCTCATGTCAGTTGCTTTCAAGATTTAAGAACATGCCAAAGCAGTCATGGAAAAATAGACAACAATTAAAAGAAACTGCACTTAAAGAGGTAGAGAAGGGGGAGTCTGAAGGTCAAGAATGGATGGACATACCTCCTCCATATCCTCCAACTTGTTGATGATGACTGCAAGAGCTTGTTTCACATTTCCCATCCTTCCAAGAATGAATACTTGCTCTCTAACAAGATCTTTTTTCACACAGATTTCGTATGCCTGAGAGATGATGCTAGTCAGGCTTCCATTTTACCAGAATAATTAACAAACCAGCACAGGGATATTAGGCTGAACCTTGTCTAGTCTATAGTGCTGACTGCTGCGAAGAAATGGGAGTAGCATCTTCGGTTCATATTCTGCATAAAGGTCAACCTGTAACAGAAAATAAATGTTACCCATGCACATTATAAAAAAATGTAAACTTATGTCTCAGTACGAACATTATAAAGAAAATGTAATACTCATATTCTGAATTGAGTATGTTGTTTTATCAAACAAATGCTGATGGGTGCATATATTAGGACAAACAGTTAGAAAGAAAATTAGTTAATATATTATCGTGTTGCAAACTTGAAGGAAACAAGAATGATTCAAAAATGATATAAATAAATGACGAAAATCTTGAACTTTATATGCATGATGAGATCAAAGACAAAACATCGCACTTGATCACACCCGTAATTTCTTTATGCAACCTGTGGTTGGTTGAAGGATTCAACTTAATCATTCGTAAACATTGTATGCATGATAATAGGATGTGACTGAAAAATATAAAATACAAAACAAAAATATCAATTAGTGATCAAAGTTCAATAAATAAAAACCAGCAATTTTCTTGCCCAACAAATGAATATTTTAGGACAAAAAACAAGATAAAGAAAACCACCTGCAAATCATGAAACTCTTTCCCAGCTTGTGGATCGATCTCAAACAGTGAATGCAAGTACAAATGCAACAAATATTTCTCATCACACTTTTTACTAGCTCCTATAAGTTGTCCAACAACTTCAGATGGTGGGATAAAATCCCTGTGTAGGATCAAGAGTTGTACAGCTCTTTTACTGTCCAGTGTCATCAATTCTACAACCTGCATGATATAGCAAATAAAAATAACCAAAGAGAAAAATAAGAAGAGAGAAACACACTGTCAAAAAGAAGTAATAACTATCATACAAGGGTCTTTTGTAAAAGAAGTTATAGAAGTAAAATCATTTATGATATCCATTGGTGCTCCCTTAAGTAACCCAGAAAATATTGGAACATCCTCCTTTTTGCAGTGATGGTTCATTATTGTCAATTATGTACTCTGTTCCACTAAGGCCCATATGGAAGAGGGTAAATGTGCGATATTGCATGTTATCATGGTATAACTACTTTGCAACATGAACTCTTCCAAGGAGGTTTTTTGGCACATGATTTGAAAAGTTAGAATACCAGGATAGTACCTCAATTCCATGGCAAAAAAATGAAGAGGGATTTTCATTCACACACGCACCCTTCTTATCCTTTCTCTCCTCTTCTTTAAAAACATATGACCTCCCTCTTCGTCTTTCAATGCCATCCCATTCCAAGTCATTCTATTAGAGTCTGATGGCCCCACTGAGGACAGCCAATGGAAAACCGAAAGGCAAAAAGGATGCCCTTCAAATTAGAAAGTACTTTACATGCCAGAGAGCTCAAAAAGTAGAAAGTCCAACATGGTCTTCAATTTAGTTTTAAGCATAAGTTCTACCTAGCCAAATTCCAGAGCTAGTCAGCATCTAAGTTAAAGAGAGTCGGTTAGGATGTTAAGTTTACGTTGCAAATTTCCATAGAACATAAATGATATATTTTCTAATCTTTTCCATTATGTTTATCTAAATGCTGCTTAAGTTATCATATTATTTTCAAAACTCAGTTTTAATCTCTCTAGTATTTTCTACTGTGTTGACTTTGTAACTTAGGCGTTCTTTATGTTTTAATTAAACCTGATAACTTGATCACTATTTCTCCTGTAAATGTTGAATGGGGCATGTACCTTTCTCTGCTTGCATATGATATTCTAGATAATGTACTATATATGTGTACTTTAGTAAGTGTATGCCATTCCTGTTGCTAGTACTTTGCAGTTTGCAGTGTGCACCGCGCATATCAAAAAAATCTGAAAACATCATATTATGCATTAATTTGGTCAGGATATGATGCATTTGGTTCAAACCATGGAGATTGGTGTCCAATAGTGGGTTCCATATGTTAACAGCCCAACTTTCATGGTCTCATGTGATTATTCAGCCTCGACTATGGAGAATATATGTGAGGTAGGGATGAGCCCAAGCATGAAGGGCTGCCATTGCCTATAATCTAACAAATAAATACATAAAAAAGCACCATCATGATAATGGATTGTGTTGTGATGATTCACACAACTCTATGTGCAAGGCCAAAGATTTGTTTAGCCATATGTTGGCATCATAGTTTGATTGATGCTAATGCCTTCTTCACGATTTCAACTCACACTGACATGTGCCAACCAGGAAGACATTTCTTGTGACATACTAGTTTTGAACAAATACAAAGTATTGAATATATCCTTAAGGCTTAAACTAATTCAATGCATTGGAAACAAGAATTCTTACGTTTGCAAATGACCTTATGCAACAATATGCTAAAAAGAATTCAGATTAGAAATAGATGTTGTAGTCAAATCCATTATTATGCAAGTGCATGTGATAATTCTATTTTTTCTCTTCCAAATAAGTATGTTGGCTTGATCCAGCTAGTGAAGTCATTACTCATGTAATAAACTTAAATTTCCTTTGTATAGACACTATTTGTACTAAAGGTTTATCTATGGGGACTGAACAATGCAAAGTAAAGCCACTATTTACAAATATCTACCCATTCTCTGTATAAAAATAATAATTATTTTATGTTGCACTGCTATGTTATATCAATCTCCTGTGAGGAATATGTTGAGACCATGTATTGTTCATTATTTAGAATCTTTTGAGAAGTTGAAGACTTGTTCATGAAATGGATCCCAATAAAGATTTTTATCATAACATCCAACAGTTCACTATTGCATGATTTTGTTTTTCATGCAGAAAAAATTAACATACCTTGTCATGTATTGCATCGTGTAGACTATGTTTTTCAATGAAGTCGAATATCTCGGGCTTCATCAACTGTAAAGATATACAGATAGACATGATCAACAAACACTCAAATCACAGCTGAATGTTGATGTTAATAAATGTCAGCATGAATTTCCAGGTTCTTCCTTTGTAGCTAGTTGAAATGTGCCTCAAAGGCATGCATGCAAAAACACAGATATGCAGGGACTGTGAAAACTGTTAAACTTACATCAGCGTATAACACAAAAGCCTTCTCATATTGAGTATTAATAATGTACAATTCAGCTAATGCCTGTCACAAAGAATTAGTAAATCACAAATGTCGCCAAGATAAGAACAATTCAAACAAATTGTAAATTTTACCTCCTTTAGAAAATCAGTCATGGATGATGTATTAAGCTGAGGTTCAATTGCAGAGATAACAGGCATTGAAGAATACAGTGTATTTGGCCACGATTTGATTGTTGATAATAGAAGCTTGTGAAAAGATGGATTGGTAGCTAATGAAACAAGTGCAACCTGCATGTTGTATACATCTAACTGCACTTAGCAAATCATACAATAAGTCACAAAATGAAGTTTGCAAAATAGCAAATATTGTTGTTTTGTAGCACGATGGTATTGCAATACTTTTGGGCACAAATCATGCCATGTTGATCACCATGGCCTTGTGCTACCTAGCATGGACAACAAATTTGTCTTAGCCACATCAGTACCTTCAGCATTAGTCAGCTTGGCAGGTGTCTATATCTTTTTGGTATGGTTCATGCCAACCCATGCTAACATATGCCAACTAGCATGGTAATTCTTGGTAGATAGATCTAACATACGTACCTCATAAGCAGTATCACTCAGTTGTGGATTTTCAATAGGCATATAAGGAACCAAAACAGGAAGCTGGCGAAGATGAGCAAAGTGGAAAACCCATCTACCAAGGAAAAATACATGTTATTACATTGAAACATACCAGCATAAATACAGTTTGGGGCTTTAACAAACCTTTCCCATGCTGAAGCAGAACTTCGAAGTAATTTAGGACACAAAGATGCAGCCTCTGCATACTTCCTTTCGATAATTAAATGGTCAAGGTATCTTGAACCCACCTGGCATTCAAGTTATTATCCACAAATTTTTCACAGAATCAGATTAAAAAACTGGGTTCCACTTTAAATGATGAAAATTGTGTTCTAATATTGAGAGTCAGTAAGAAACTATGGAACCAGTCCACAAATTAAAATAGTTAGGAGATGATTGGATATTATGATGATTAACTTCTACAGAATGGAAAGAGATCGTGTCTCAATCAAGGACAATGAACATAATATTTAAGGAAGCCCTGCATATTAAAAACTAAAGGACTCTGAAGTCTAAACATCATTGTCAAAAGGTATTTTGTCAAATTTTGAGAGGATAATAAGCAATTAACATCCCACTTGCATATTATGCAGTACTCAAATTTACACTTTAGTTTCCATAACATTTGCAACTCAAAATTATTATGGTTCATGGTGACTGGCCTTTTTTATGTTCGATTGCCCATCTCACGAATAGTGAATTCTATTTCAGGAGGCTTAAAACATCAAAATAGAAGAAAGCTATACATAAGAAATATAAAGTTCACAAGTATCCTGAAGCTTTGCTAGCTCTCAACTACCCTGAAATTCAGTGGCATTTCAAAGTTCAAACTCTTCTCAAAATAAAAGTCAAATTGATCATTCTTTGTTTTCTTTCCTTCATAAGTAAATACGGAGAAAGTTTGCATATGCTAGATAAATACCATTCTGAGAAAATTGCTCAATACTTAAGAGCTTTATATAAGCACTTGGCAAGGACTAGAATAGATCAGCAAAGTGCATGTCTTACTTAAGTATCACAAATGCAGATCCTCCAATTAGAAATAAAAAAATAAGAATACAAAATTAATAAGTAGCAGACATTTTTAACAAAGGCCCAAGTGTCAGATGAGTTTGTTTGCATCAGCCACCTGATTAATTATAAAATGATCATTTGATAAAAAAAAGGATTGCCAAAATAGAATACCTCATCAAGAAGCTCAGTTCGTCCTTGACCTGCTTCAACTGCAGCTAAAGCTTTTTCATGCCAACCATGTTGAAGAAGCCAAGAAATATGATCTTCAGCATCTCTGGCCATTAAAACTTACAGTTAATAATGACAAGTTACAACCTTATATGACACACAAATATGATTGACTTAATATTGGTAGACAATAATCTTAACCGCAACAAACAAATAAATTTAAACAGACGATAAAAATTAATGTATTATACTATTATATCAACTTAAGTTTCAAATGCACAAATTACAATATTATAATTTATTTTTAAAAAAGGAAATGAGTTAAAGGGCACCGTGCCTTGAAAACAACATTTAACAATTACAAGAAGTGAAGGAAGAACTAAAGCCTAATGTCAAAAATAAGTAGATTCAGATAAATAATTTCCAACTATTTAGCTCTTGAACAGTTAAAGGGTTATAAAGAACAAAAACCTCGAGTCTGACATGGTTACGTTCAGCTACATGGATCCTCACATTTAGCTCTTCAACAGTTTAAAATTAATTTCAAAGAAAAGCACAAGTTTTGATTTAAAAAGACATGCACACTTAAAGACCACGAACCTAGGTCTTGCAATTACAACATCCTTGGGTGATACTATATAGTACAATGGTTCATCACCAGCAGCCCACTGACCTCCTGCATAGCTGCTTCCTACATTCAAAAGCACAAGCAACATAAAATTAGTCTTTCTCACATAGTTTCTTTTTTTTTTTCGTGCTCACATATTTACTTATATTACTTGAAATGAGAGGTTAAAAACCTGAGAATGGAGCATGTGCAAGGGAATAGTCCTTTGCTTTATAATGCTCATAACCATGGACGGGCAAAGCATCAGTTGTTAGCTCATCATTTTTCCATGTGACTATTCGTATTTCAGGTCTCTGTGCAGTTCCCTACAACAAATTTCAAACAACAGCTTGTCATGCAAAAGTTGTGCTTGAAGCCTAGAAGTAAACAAACACTACAAAGCCAGAATTGAAATCAAAATTAAAATAGAAGCACATTATTAATTTCATTCTACCAATAATTAATATTTAACATATGAATATTTATAATTAAATAATTATTCATACATAATATTTTTATTCATTATTGAGTTAGATTGTGTGTTAAACATTTACTATGTTTTATTTTTTTATTCAATGATCATAATCATAATATGCAATAGCTATAATAAATATTTTATATATTATATGCATGTAAAGGTAGAGATATTTAAATAATAGAAGCTAATGAATAAACACATACAAAATGGATTATTAATAATAGTAAAAAAATAATAAGATTGATTACAAAAATCTGGTTATAAAGAGATGTATAATTATATAGAAGGAAGGACATAATTGATTTATTGCGATTTAAAAAAGACACTTTTGACCGGGGTTCTCAATTTCTGTGTACCACCCAGTACGGGTGGTACATATTGGTCTGAGAGGATACCGATACGCGGACCGTCCTCTATCGGGTGATACGATATCTGTACCGAGTGGTAACGTTCAAAATCTGATCATTACAGAGGCACATTGATCGGTATATGCCTCGAATTTCGATTGTTACCGAGGTGTACCGATCGGTATGCCCCAAATTTCGATCGTTACCGAGGAGTACTGGTTGGTAGGCCTCGGTATTTTTGGAGATTTTTTAGTTCCTTTTGGGCGTACCGCCGATATGCCTCGGCATATCATCGGTATGCTTCGATACGGACTGAAATTGAGAACCTTGCTTTTGACACTAGAAGCTCTTCCATTAGAATTTTAAATCCTTCCAGAAGAAAAATATGAATTTCCCTGATCTATTGCCCCAACCAAAATAAGGAATTCAAATTGCTCATTCTGAATTGGGTTCCAATGATCAAATCTTGCTAACCAAACACCATCTAGAACTACTCATCATATAACGTGCATGTAAGCCTCTTCTATCAGTACTTGTACCAATAATTTGCAATTAATATGAGAGAAGTATTGTTAATATCTATTTCTTATCCTCATGAATCAAATATAGCAGCCTGTAGCCCTCCCTAATAGTACTTATCCATTATCAGTGAAATACTATGGCAGGTTGATCTAAAAGATCAACAAAGAAAAGAGACAAGAAAGAAATGTTATTCACACTACCACCATAATTGTAGGTCATATTCACTCTAGTCTTTAATGTCCTAAAATGTTTGCAGAGTTTGTGGCTACTTTACAGAAAGTGCATGTCAATTAATAGGACAGATTGGTACAAGAAGAATCATTAATAGCATTGATGAAGGTACCACATTTTAATCAATGATCAAGGGCATATCAATGAAATAGTAAAGTAATCATGTTACAGAATGTTTTTAGAGATTGCTAAGATAATCTCAAAATCAAGGTTCAAATTCCTAGTCATTTACCTGTTTTAACACTTGTCAGACTGTACTTTTTACATATTGCGCCGGACTCATTGCTTTGGTCAATGTCCATATCCCAGCATCCTCGAGCAATTGCATCATCCAATTGGATCTTTATATATTCTAAACTTTCCTAATTTGTATCCCTATTATAATGGTCCATCACTTCATTTATATTTGACTTATAAGTATGACTGTCATCAGTGTTTAAACTATTAAAGAGTAAGAGATCTTGAATGTCTTGAACATGTCTAGTAGCTATTACTACAAAACCAATCCAGACCAAGTAAAATGGAAAAGGACCTAGCATATGTTAGTATGTCATGCCCATAGCTTTCGGCAATATTGTGAAACTTCATACCAAATCAATACTAAGACTTGTAAATATATTTGCTATAAAAGAAAAACCAATAACAAAAACAAAAGGTAACAAGTTGGTCAATCAAGTGAAACACATTATCATCTTTCCACTAGCATTTGAAAAGCATGAAAAGGAGGAAAAAGGAACAGTGATGCCCCTTATTTTCTAATATCAAGCCAACGTTGAAATCTTTTGACCAATTTAAGGAAATATCACATACAAATAAATTAGATTAGCCTTTAAGTTCCATGAATAACACTTTTCCCAAACAAAAAGAATGTCCAGACAAAAGAGCAATACAACATCCAAAAAGCATAAGGAGATGAGAAGGCTAACAATGAAAGTTCAACTTGCAAAGGAAATGCCAAATGATATTCAATCTGTTATTGTAGTATAGTAAAGCCACAACATGATTAACTACAGAGAGTTATGAACTACCCAAAGAATGAAAATGGAGAAAATTGAGTGTGAATTAATAAAATTTCTATATAGTTCATGATCAACATTGCTGCAGCACAATTACCTGACGGGATGGCACAGTACTTCTAAAGTCCTTTTCTGCATTCTCCTCCGGAATGTAAGCGAGTACAACTAGAGTATCACCAAAAGGAGCAATACCAGATATATAGTAGCTAGTCTGAAAAGATGCCACAATATCCACGTACTTTGCACTAGATATGGAGATTGTCCTTTGTAGCCCATTTGCTCCATTAGATGGGTTGGTCTTAATTGCTGCAATTTTCACACATGTTCCCCAGCCAACAACCAAGAGAGTGTCATCCTAGGCAAGTCAAAAAAGTGATTAGAATGTAATTTTGGATTCTGCAGTGCAGATTTAAGAAAGAAATATAAAAGCAAGAACTCTAAATCAAATTAATTATAAAAATGAAACAGTAATTTTATGACTATTTTTTCTTTTGTCACTACAATAAAAAAAATGTTCTCCTTGGTGCAATTGACTCTATTCTATCACCATCAAGAAAATACCATGTCCAACTAAATAACCGCCCTAGTGTCCATAACCCTCCAAAAGATATGAATTAAAAGAAACATCCAGTGCAAACAAGCTCCCTGTCTCCTAAATAAAGTACTAAAACAAATTATGTTACTTCTGGGACTCCAACAATGATATTAGTGTCAATAAATCTCCATTACACATAATAAGCATTTTGGAAAAGTCTACATCCAAATGAAATAAATCAATCCTCCAAGTTATTAGATACAAAGGGCTTTTAATTTCGAATAATACCGTTTGGTACGAGTGGTACGTACCGGTCCGACAGCATATCGATACGTGGACCGCCCGTTACCGGGCGGAACACTCAATATCACCTCGTATTTGACAATACGGGGGTATATCAGACGGTAACGGTCGAAATTTCGACCGTTACTGCCCGACACAACTCGGTAACGGTCGATTTCGACCATTACCACTCGTCACAGCTCGGTAATGGTCGATTTCGACCGTTACCAATCTGTAACAGTGCTCTGACCATTGGAGCCCTTTCTCATGGGTTTTTAAACTCATCTTCTCCCCCCACTCTCACACTCTCTTAAACTACCTCAAACTCATTTTTTCTCACATTTATACTCTCCTAAACTCTACAAAGCAACGATTTGTGAATTGAAAATTCAAATAAATTTTCTGTAGATATTTAAATATTTATAGAAGAACAATCAGTAACGGATCGAAATACGAACCTTGCACAAGGCTATTTCTCAAAGTCAGTAAAAGATATGTGATACTATTCTTACTTAGTTTACATTGGTTTTGCTAAACTTATACTATTACTATATTTATTTCTAACTTAAAAACCATATCATAACTTTTTTTAAAAATTTTCAGGTATTTTCGAAGGATTTTATGCTTAAATTAGGTGTATCGCTCGGCACACCCTAGTGTACCACTCGGCACATAGTACCGTACTGTACCGAGCGAAACTAGGGTGTGCCGAGTTTTTAAAGAGATGCAGTTATTTAGTCAGCCCAAGATTGATATTTATTTGACACAAATAACATGCTACAGTAGCAGATTAGGCATATGCTTCAGTTAATATCAATTTTTTTGGATTTAATGAAATTATTATTGAGGTTGGGGTTTGGCTTAATGATAAAGTTGCTCTGCTGTAAATTGATAATTATTTAATTAGTTCACCTTGTGGTAGGGATTGCTCGAGATCAAGGGAAAGGTTAGGTATGTTTGAATTTATTGAGACCCCATGAATGAAGTAGCCATGTGCTCAAAGTTGCTTAAGTTTTTTATCATATTTGATATTAGAAAGTAATTTTTTAATAACTGCATCTCTTTCCACATTATATGATTTATTTTAATAACATTGGATAAGAATCTAGTACATAGCAAGGTTTTAAATATCGGTCCAATACCAATTTTGATGATCTACCGGACCAGTATAATACAGGTATACTGGGTGGTATACTAACTAGTAATGCCCGATATCATCCAAAGAAAATAACAATAAGTTAAATACCAATATATGTTTCGGTATTGGGCCTTCCTCAAATCGGTAAATAGTGGCCAGTATGCACCATATCCTACCGGTTTTGAGACCATGTTATTGAAACTGTTTATGTGGTTGCATTGGACAAACCTGCCAAACCAAGTGGGGAAGTAAAAGCTCAGGTCGTGGGCTCCCTCGTGGCCTCTCAATAAATGAGATACGTTGATTGTTTGCCATGTCATAGATTTTCACCCCTGCATCATTAGCCCAAGCAATGAGATTTGTTCTCCATTTAACAGCATGTATTGGACCTTCACCATCATGAAGAACCTGTATGGAAAAAGAGGAACAAAAAGAAAAAGAGATAATGTCACAGTTTCCTCGAAGTATTACAGCTCTTCTATAGAAACTTTTGGAACGCAAAACAAACCTGTTTACCATATCCTAGCCAATTTTTCAGGTTCAAAAAAAGTTGACCAGCCAAACCGCCTGTAACAAATCTCCTTGAGGGTTTACGTGAAAAGTCGGGATCTAGAGCTATGGTTTTCATGGGGCGATGATACTCAAATTTTAATCTTTCATCAGTGAAGAGGCCATTTACCACCACAGATCCATCATCTGAACAGCTACCAACATATTCACCTTCTGAATCAAAACTAATATCATTCACAGTGGCTGTATGAGCAGCATATTCTTTAACCTGTAAACACAAAAATTATCCAAGTTGGAGCAACATGTGTTAGGGAGGATAGCAGTAGACAGCACAACCTCTAAATAAGAGAAGAACGTTCACAAAAGTTCTAGAGAAAATAACTAATGTCATTAAGAATAAGAAGATACTCTGCTCACCATGAATGTTGTTTAAGTTTATCATAGGCGAACCAAGTATTTATCCGTGCCTATAGCAGGGATCCGAATTCATGTCTAAGTCCAAGTCCATAAGATCAGAATTGTAAAGTGGCCTTAGGACCTAGGATTTAATATAAGATATTCTAGATAAATAAATAAATAAATAAATAAATATATATATATATATATATATATATATATATATATATATATATATATATATATATATATAAAGATAATAGAAAAATCGTGTCTGCTAACTTCTAGAATTTTTAGAATATGTTTACGAAAAAAAAATAATGCTAATTAGGAGAAGATTTTTTTTATTAAATTTGATTCAGGAGACGGTGATTCATGATAGTTTTTGGATTTGCAGGAACTACTCCATGCATTAGTTACTAGTAGATATGTAAACCCCTTTCCCCAATCTTGATCTGACAGTTCCACATCTAAGGAGGCAGGTGGAGCACACAGATGACAAGTGGGGCTCATATCAGTCGACTATTGATATGTAAGATCTGGAAGGATAGATATCAAACGTAAAATTGAACAAGATCTTCACCTCAATTATAAGTACAGTTGGAGAAGATTGACAGACTCTCACTCTCACCTCTTATATGTTAAACCTCCCCTCCTCTTTCTTCCTTTTGTGTTTCGCTGCAACCTACCAGACCTGGCAGTTCATGCTGCCATTATAAACAGCCTTCTTCCTTTCATCTTTGCTCTCTCTCTTTTTTCCTTGAAGCTGCCATTGGATGATTGTGATCATTCAAAGGATCACAGATCAACTGATTTTGGATGGTTCCAATCGACTCGACTAATCTTTCAGGCAAAGAAATGCAAGAAACATTCATAATTTCTGTTGATTGATACAAATAACGATCATCCTAAGATATTGATGATAAATCATTCCCATAGGTCATAAGAAAGAGGATGGAATGTCAAATTAGCACCAAATGCAATTAAAATTTCAATGCTTAATTTAAAAAAAGAATAAGTGATGAAATTAGTTTTATTTGAATAGCAGTTCTCCTGACTTAAATCAGAACCTGTGAATATGCAATAACAATTTCTGGAGTTGAACACAAGATCATCCAGTAGAGATCATCTGCCATGGGTCAACTTAAAAGTTGATCATGATATAGGTGCAATTCTAGTCACTGTCTGAACAAACAACGTTGAAGCAATGTGAGGACGCAAGTACAGGATAGTGTCGTTTGAGCTGAAAGAATAGGATATAACAAGAAACCAAATAGACACAAAAAATTCAAAGGTAGCAAACAAAGCAAGCAACAAAAGGATATAGAAGTCTTTCCTTGGAGATTCACATCATGTATTGGACGCAAACGTGACAAACTTATTCTGATCCCAGTGGCGATTTTGAAGAGGATTCAAATCAAGATCTTGATAAGCAAGGGAAATTAGGCAACTTATCATCGCACGTCTCCCTATTCTAGACATGATCAAACTTACCGCAAACGGAAACGATTCTAAACCGCACACATAGTTGATCATAGATGCAAACTTTAATCGATAACAACATTATATCCTCCAATCCAATGAATCAAGGGCTTGAAATGAAGCGCAACGCTAGAAACAAAAACTGCCCAAAGAAAGGGAAGTCAGCTGTATTCGACCTGATTGCCCTGGAAATCGAGGATATGGACGGTGCCGTCATGGGTGCCGAGGGCGATCATACGCTCGGCAACGGCGATGGAGGCCGCGGCGTCGTTGGAGAGGAGGGACGGCACGCTGCCTCCTAGGCGCTGGTACTTGAGCCTCGGCTCCCCCTCCTCGTCCTCCCGCTCCTCCTCATCTTCTTCCTCCTCGGCGTCGTCGTCTTCCTCCCTCTCGTCGTCCCCGTCGACGCCGTTCTCCGGTGGGTGGTTCGACGCCATGATCGCCAGCGGCGAGATCCAATCGCAGTCTCGGGCGGTCTCCTCTCCTCTCCTCTCTTCCGATGATTCGCTTCGTCGGTTCGAAGCGCCGGGCGATTCCTGGAGACCGAGTTAACTCGGGAGGTATGGAGGGAGGGATCAACGTGTCGAAGCCAACAAGAGGCAGAAGCCAAGCAAACGGAGGCTCCCCTTCTCAACCTTTCCTCGCTGTCGATTTCTGCTTTTAGATCAAAAAAAAGTTATTTCTTCCCTTTTTTTTCTCCCGGGCCCAACACAGCGGCCCATTACCCACTACGTCATTGACGGACAGCTGTGGGACCAGACCGGCTTGCTCTCCAACCTATCAACCATGGTGCGGGAGCGGGTCCCGAACTCTGGGCCCACTCACATTTGCTTCGTTGTAACGGCCGTTGGATAATGAAAAAAACAAACATATCGAGTTTTTAATCCTATTGAGATTAATTAATTAAATGAAATAAATTATTATTATGTTATATTGTACGATCAAATCTTTTGTCCATTCATTGTGTCCTATTCAAGTAAAAAAACAAAATCAAATTCAAGAAATTAAATATTTTTTATAAATAATTTAAACTAGTGACTAATATATAATTGTGATTCTGATAAACTTGGAATTAAAATTGAATCAGTAAATCATGAAGATTAGATAATTATTTACCAAAACTAAAATATAATTACAGTAATTTTGTAAAGTAAATCTAATCCAAGTTTCTTTGGATTGGATCCACACCCAATAGTATGCATGGCCGCTGTTTCGAATCCTCTCGATACACGTTGGATATGCTTTGCTGTAGCTTCATCACATTGAACGGTCAAAGATCCTCCACATCTCACCTATGGTGGCATGTCATGAACATGACATGTTGTGAGCGGTCGAGCAAGAATTTGATGGCGTCATGTATCGCATGTGCCATCCTCACCTCTATTAAATGGAATTTGACCGATGCCACTTAGGACTGTGGGGTATGAGTACGTGCATTCCACGCACGACACTATGAAAGCAGATTGTTCTCGTAAGTTGTTATTAAACTTGGATTAAAGATCGATTTTACATATCCAAGATTTGTATTATTTGATGGGGCCATGTGAATTGCTAGAAACATGAGAAATGTATGACTAACCTAATAACTAAAGTTTTGTAAAGGACCGAAGCAATGTTAGCATGAGAAAAGAGATTTTTTTTGTAAAGAGATTTAATTTGAAATTATTATTTATCTGAGTCTAATGTTTAAATCATTTAAGAGGTTTTTTCTTACTTTGTCTGAGTCAACAAATAATTTAAAATACCTCAACTTCTTTAAATAGGCTCGAGTTAAATAACAATAATTTGAAGCACTTCATTTTACTTGATATTATTTTAAAAACCTAAGGACTCGACTGTATCGATATGTAAAATATAGGATTATTAATCTAGTATAAAAAAGAGGAAAATAAATATTTAATTTAATATAAGTAAACTTAATTCTATACTCGATCTCATAGACACATATAGAATTATATAGAAAGTCGTATTTGATGAAAGTCATATATATGACTTTGGAGGGTGATCTTTCATATCTTTCGAGATTCACCTGAGGTCAAAATGCTAAAATAAGTAATTCATTTTTAGTTATTTTGGAAAGAAAACTAATTCTTCAATTTCTTTCGTATCCTCGTCACGTCGAGATACTATAGAAAAAAATTTTATAAAATCTGATCCAATTTATCATAATCGATTAGTTAACATGTTGGTTAACCAAACACAAAAAGAAATCATTAGCATATCAAATTATTTATCAAGCCATAAAATAGATTCAATAAAAGATATAAACGATTCAATTATCTATTTTTCGTCAATTAATATGTGGAGTAACTCCAATTGGGCATCTTGAAAATGTTTGGATTGAAATATGACTTTTAAATTAAGTTCCAAATTAGTAGATGCTACTAAAGGGAGTGACGATGCCATATACAACAAAAAAAAAAAGAGACTAATAGAATTGTAGAGGCAAAAAGAGCTTTTGTATATTTTCATTAATCCATGAACATGATCTATATAGACACATGAATCCATACATTTCAATTAGAAAAGAATCAATAGAAAAAGAATCAGACGATATCTTTCTCCAAAAATCATAAACAACTAAGCCATCTAAGGGCTTACTTAAGAATAAGAAAGAGAAATCTTATGAAAATATCATGAAATAAGGGTTGATCCTATTCATGGGGATTATGTAAATATTCTATTCCAAAAATAAAAAATTTGAAACAATTAGTACTTTTCATAGATTAGATGTAGTTACTAGTTTATGATCTGACATGTACAGAATGTACAGAATGAAAACTTCATTCATTCTTCAATTGAGAAGATCCATCAACCTAAGACAACGAGAAAGTTCTATCTATTTTTTTTAGTTATTTAGTTAAACTAATGATTCTGATAACAACAAGCATTTCATCAATATGCATTTTTTTATTTTTCGATGAATTTACATAGTTTCATTAATGAAATTGATGCAGGGAGTAATAGACTCTAGCTATTTACCGTTTAAGAATTCTTGTTTAGGCCGTTCATATCATCTATATATAGTGTTTTGATCTAAGATTTCAATTCTTCCATGTTTTAGCAATAGCATATTGTTCCATGAAGCTAATGTCCAAAATATGAAATAAAAAATATTTTTATGACTACCACTTGATCAATCCTGTTTCACTTAATCTCTTTTTCATAGCCACGTATCGTTAAGGAATGGAAAATCTTTCTCCTGATATTTCATTCATCCGGGAAAAGTCATCCCTTTCTCAATATTGTCTTTGTCATTTGATCCAATAGCATTCCGTTAGCTAGGATTTGATAAATATTAATAACTCTCGAAAGAGTATTAGAAATGAAAGATTCATTAGATCATGGACTATTGCTTCTAAGTTATCTCTCGCAATGAATCAATAATTCGAAGTGCTTTTCTTATATATTCTTGATGAACCAACATTTGTATATAAATGTAAGAGGATTTGTTTCAGAAGTATTAAGTCCCTTTGACATCTCTTCATTTACAAAGAATTCTCGGCGTGACAAAGAGTTGAACTTTGAATACTAAAAAGAATAGATCCGTAAGGTCCCAAATGAATTGGCTTATTTTAAAAAAATATTATTCTTTGAAAGATCTCTATTTATGTTTGGTACTACATGGTTCCACTCTACAAGAACTCTGAATCATTATCTTGAAGCTCATCCTCTTGGTGATAAATAATCCACTTGTCCCAAGCCTAATAGGAAAAAGTGGGCCTTTCAATATAATCACATAGTTTGCCATAAGGGCATCATGTACTGGGAACCTAAACTATGTGATTGAATAAATCCTTCTCTATCACGGGTCAACGATCCTTTTCTCTTCTTTAAACTCCGATTTATATTTTTCATATAAAAATCTCTGATCAACGATAGAAAAAAATCTGTTTTGTATCATATCTAACTATTTGAACTGAAGAAGTAATGTCACTCGATCATTGTCAAACTGATTGCAATCCTTTTCTGTTTGTGAGGATCTAACCAAAGAGTCTTCTACTTCTAAGAGGCTATGAACTAGATCAAAATCATTATCAACTTATCCATAAGAAGTGATCCAATTCTTTTCACTAGGTCCAGGTGAGGACCAAAGATTTTCAACGATCGATCCGATAAAACAACTCCAAAGATAAAGAAGTATCATTAATTTTTTCATACTCATTTCAAGTTCCAAGTACCATTTGTATAAATAAGACTCCCAGTAGACCTTCCTATTCGATAGAAAAGGATCCCATGAACTAATATTACTTGGGATCACAAATTGAAGGGTAATATCATTACAGATATTAATAAGATGATAAACTTTAAGTTTATCATCCGTAACAAACCCCTATCAAAAGAAACATAAACATAGGGGTTTGTTACTAGATATTTGACCAAATAGGATCATCCAATTCCTATAGAACCTATCATTAAAATACTCCTAGAAGAAGATAAGGCTAAGAGGAGCGACAAGAGTTTTCCAAAACTATTAGCTCCATTTATGAATAAATAATTGTGAACAAGGAATATTCATTTTTCTATTAAACAGGATCCACTCATAATTCATTATATAATTAATAACTAATTATCATAAGTAATTCAGTTCATTGAGTCATTGGTTAAGTCAACTAGTCAACTGATTAAATCATATATTTAACATTACTTTTATTTATTAAAATATGAAATATGAAATATGAAATATATTATGAATTAAAAGAGGATCAGAGGGTAATGAAATCAATGGAGCTTTCTTTCACTTTCATCCTTACAATAAAAATAAATAAATATCCTTAGAGAAAAAAAAATCAAGCATTTTTCGTAGCAAATAAAAAGTTGGTAACATTTCAATCTTTGAATTCTTGATTACTAATTAAATTTTTTTAGAGCCAGAATTTGGGCGTCTCATTTTTAAAGCAATATATCAAGGAACAAAAAGTTGAGCATGTGAAAGACATTACCACTTCTTTGACCTCTTCACTCTTAGTATTAGCGGTTTAATAGACACTCCAACAATTCCGTTATTTAAATGCTTATTATGGTCTATACTTCAAACGGTATTAACTTTTAATAATAGCACTTTAAATATTTAAGTAACGCTATGATTTATTTACATTTATTATTACCTTATGATTTATTTTAGACCTGAAGAAGTAAAGAGCTAATGCTAAAGAAAGCTCCCAAAGACCAGTAAAATAAGTCATATATGTGAAAACTTGGGTACTACAAAAAAAAAAAGAAAACCCCACAAAGAACAGAGGCACACTTAGAGAAACTATACATCACATATAGGTTCACAGTGGATACAAAATTTACATTTGCTACAAGATGTACAAAATCCCTCTTCTCCCTTGGTTTTGTCATGGCTATTTGCAGCACGAACCAAAAAGAACAGACATAAGTATCAGTCTGCCGAGTAGCTGATCAAAACGAGGGAATGTAGCTGATCAAAAACTACATAAAATTTCTCCATTGAGAGTGAATTTTCAACAAGTTGAATCTATAGCTCAAAATCTAATACAACTGTTAACTTAATTATGGTGATGGAATAGTCTGTGGCTGATGCTGATCGATTAATATCACTTGTTTTATGTTTCATCTTCTTCAGATTCTACCAATGGTTCCTCCTTGGATATAGCATTGCACCTGACAAAATA